AATGCATTGATTTTATAAACTTTTTAGGGAAGTGTCTTTTCCAAGATTTGATTTCAAATGCCCAATTAAACTTCCTCTTTATGAAATAATTTAACATAACCTAATCAGACATAACCTATTCTTTTAAAATGTCTCTTTATTTCAATTCGTTCATCTTCTGTTTTAGCATTTACTTCTCTTGAGTAGCAACAGGTTTTTTCGATTTATCATTTGCAATTTACTTTTTAGTTGTTGATTCTTTTTTACAGTCAGTTTTACATAAGAATTTCATCTAATTTAAATCATAATGACTTTCTAGATCGTCTTCTGAACTTACAGTTTCAAAATCTCCAGATTGTTGATCATAAACACTTGAAAATATTTTAAAAATTGGAAATCTTTTTAAAACATCTTACTTTGATTACTAACCACTAGTTTAATTCTTGGAAAATTATTCAATTGTATTTTTTATCAGATATTTCTATCTATTAATAAACAGACCCAATTCATAAGGAATCTAGCCAAATGTTCCATTCATGATGAAGTTCATAAAGAAATTAAAAATCAGGAACATCAAATACACCATCAAAATTTCATATCCATACTTTCTATTATATTCCATAGTCATTTGACCAGTGTTTGTCAATATACAAACATAATTAATCAGTTCTAATATTTTATTCCAAACACCAAGGGATGAATTATTTTAAGGCCAAGGTCTTTACAAGAAATAAACAAACTTAGCTTTGTCAGCCTGCATCTATGCGATGTTTTATACCCATAAGAGAAAAAAGCTAAATGGAAAACTATAGCCAAATATTGAGAGAAGTGTGTTCTACAAAAATATCTCCATGTAATCTTCTAAGGTTCCATATCTTTCTTGACTGATTGCATAGGATCTACGATTAGATTATTCCTAAACATATTTGGAGATGCTCACTTCCTCAAATTTGTATTTGAAAATAGGAATCTTTTTGACATTGATTATCAGTTGAAATATTTTGACAGTCTTGAAAAAGAATACCCAAATAATCATCGTGGCAAAATGATACTGGATATGCTCTTAACAATTGGTAGCCTTGCAATAAAGATTAAATGGTTCATTCAGAAATGCTATTATTATTAAGGGACCCACATATGATATGAAATACAAAATGTATTTTTTAGTAACAAAACTCTCTTCATAATCTTTAACTGTCTTTTAATTCTCAAAATCAGTCAATCTGGTTGCTATAATATTGTAAACTCTATCCAAAAATTAGATTATCACAATGTTAATTGTGGCAGTGACCATAACTTCAAAAGTGGCATCTCTTATTGTTTTATCCTCCTACATCTTCAATTTTAAAGCAATTGTTAAAATATAAAGACAAATAACAATTCCACAATATAGAAGAATTAATAACATCAAAATCAGTGTGGCTAAAACCATCCTCGAATATAACTCGAGTTCATTGATTCCAACGTTATTCATCTAATCATTCTCTACCGATCTTCTATGCTTCCCAATAAAATTACTTCTCTAAACCTAAATCTCATCCTTTCCTGATTAACCAAATTATAAGTTGAAAATCATTTATTGTTTCTACCAAATCACAACAAACAAATTAGTCCACTAAATCTAAACAAAAGCAAATATAATCCGCAACAAGTAAGTTAAATCTGAATTATCATCCTAAATGACCCATTACACCAAATTACAGCCTAAGGCAATAAAAGCTATCTTAAGTAACATCTTAGTATAATAAGTCTAATAATAAAAGTAGAGACCTATCTTCTACCCATAATAATCACAAATTAGAACAATGGGAGCACTCCAAGGCTTCTAAATATTGAATGCCCACTCAAATTCCAAATGGTACATCTTTTTTCTATAAAAATCATCCTCTAAAATCAAATCGTTTTAATTGGAACTTAAGTGTCCAAATAATTCATAATGATCATTAACACAAAAAAACTACGATACAACCTTTTGATTAATCAAGTCGTTTAATTAGAACATGTTATTTATTGCCTAATCAGTTAATTTCAATCTTTCAGAAGTAGAAAACAAAGATATTTTCTTAAATTCGTTTATTTGGTATTTACACCAACACATAATATGTTAAAATTTCATAATTGGAGAAATAAGCATACTAGGTTTAGAATAAACAACATAAGGCTCCAATCTTTAGACATCAATTAAGTCCCAAATTGTGAACAGCAATTTCTTTTAACTATTTGCTACTTTAAGAGCCTCTTCAAATATGCTTTAATAATTGGATGCCAAGCGTTCTTTCTTAAATAATTTAATTAATTTTGAATTCGGAACCTGGTCCTCAGTTAAGAAGTCCTAATATTCCTATATTGCACTAAACACTCTTTATTATATTTTCTTAATTTCTTATTAATGATATCTATTGCATTCCTCTTTAATGTTATGTTTATTCAATTTTTTGATTTCCTCCTTCTTCTGATTTCTAATAACATATAAATCATATGGTTTCAATTATTTATTAATGATAGCAGCAACATCGCTCTCAATCTTAAAATGCTTTCGATGTTTTGATATCTCCTTCTCTAAATGAACTAAATATTAATAGTATGCAAACCATTACTCATCAGTTGGTTATTCTTCATCATCTTACAAATCCATTTTGCCATATTAAAACAATTACCCATTGATCCTGCTTTGATTAGTCTCTCTAGATACTCTTTTGAAGTTAATTTCATCTATTAATTTGATTATCTTCGGTCTCAGATACAAAAACATCTCTGTAACGTCATCATAATCATTTGGCTTCCATATTCTATTATTCAATCTCAATGGTCTGAAACAATTATCCACTGGTTCCAATGAAAAAAGATCTGTAAACCAAAAGTTCAATTTCTTTTTTAACTTTTATCTTTCAGCCAAACTTTTTAGATTCTCTTCATGTGCATATAATCTACATAAAATATACTTTCCATCATCTGTTATACAACTTTTAACACTAAATCCACTCATCATTATTTAAATTAGCATGATTTATCTAATTAATGTAAGGACATCATTGGTATCTTCCTGACTTCTGTGCCATTTCCCATTCACATTTATAAAATAACCTCCTCCTTACATTATTTTGGGTTTCATCTCCTTAATAGCGGAATAGTCTATATCAAAAGTGTCCGTTTGTTTATACTATTGTAAGTTTACAGAATCTGTCCCCATCAACTTATTTTGCATTTACAAAAGTAAAATAGATAGGGTATCCATTTTTTTATAACTTGAAGATCTATACCATTGTCTGTGATGGATGCTTTCGAAGGGTGTTTGGATATTTTCTTAATCTAATGGAATCTATTCGAGAATTGTGTCTGATTTCAAATTTGAGTTTTACTTGAATCCAAACCTACTTTTGCTTCTTCTCAAGTAAGGACTCAGCTTTGTAAATACTCCTTCAATTGCTTTCATAAATATTTAATTGTCGATCTTCTTCATGTCCAATTTAAGCACCTTTTCTATAAAGAGGATAGCATCGATGGGGGGCATAATCTCTAACTATTCGCATTATGAACAATCAGGATTTGGAAACCTTCATTAATTGCCAATATTTACTTTAATACTGCCTCCGGGAGTATATTTTCATCAATCTACCCAATGAATCGACCAAATTTATAATTCATTCTTTATTCATCTTTACTTTTCATTTATCTTCCAAGCAATAGCTTTAAATAAATTTCATATGTTGCTAAATACTTATTGACTGTTTTGACCATGTTCTACATTTTTTAATTCTTTAAAGATGCTCTGCCATTTCTTTGAAAGTTACCATTATTTTTTTCCAAAACAGGGTCATGGATTACATCAAAATTCACAATGTTCTTTTTATTCCTTTGCGAATTAGAATCACTCGATTGGCTTGAAGGAGATAGATTAGAATAACTCATTAAACTAAAATATTATTATTACATCTTATTCCCAATATCATTAATATTTTCAAAATTTCATTTATTATCAGAAAGACTGAATAATTATTTCATTCATTTGCCATCTCGGCGTTAATGAAAACTAAATGGTATATCTTTTTTCAGTAAAATGAATAAAATAATTAAAAAATAGAAAATTTCTACACCTTTCAAGACAATTTTTGATTTTCTTATATATTGTGATATTCAGCATACAAAAAATAAATTGAAAATTTAATGTAAAATTTCCACATAAAACCCTTTTTCCATTTATTTAAATTATCATTTTAAGTTCAGGACTATATGTGATATATTTTCTATTTTGAAATCCAAAAGAAAACGAACTTACCATACCATCAGGTTGTGGGAACCTTAAAAAACCTAATTAAATAAATGAATTTCTCGTTAGAATTTATTAAAATAGAAATTTACATCATTAATTTAAAAACAGACTTGTTAAAATATTTGCTTCATTTATATTTTAAGAACTCTGACAAATCTGTCAATATTTTCCATTCAAGTTAGATTATCAAAGAAAATACTAATTATTTGCTTAAAACCTATTGGAAATGAATTAATATAGAAAAATGAAAGTACTTTATATTTAATTAATGTAATGTTGAATCAATATAATTAATATTGCTTTCTTAAAATATTTGGCCATTAGTTAATGAATTTTAATAAAAATTGTCTATTATATATTAAGGTTTGAAATTGCTTCATAAATATTCAGTATATAAAACTTAAATAAATTCAAAGTACATTTTATTATAAATAAAAATTCAAATATGGATATACAAACTTTCATTCCAATAGTTTTTGTAGATGAGTAAATGGAAAGGGTTATATTATCAGACAATATCTAAGAAATGATTAAAAAATTATTTAACAGTAAAAACAAATTGATAACTTAAAAAAAGCTTTTTATGGATATCAACTGAGTCTTCTCATATTTTAATTAATTTTAATTTTACTTCAATAATCTTGATATTATCAGTATTAGAAATTTAGCTATTAATTTTACAATTCCATGGGCGACTATTTTATGAGTTATTGTGTATTAAGTAAATAATTGAACGAAATAAATATCATTTTCAATAAGCATCTTTTAAAATGAATTTCAAAATGTCTGAAATTGTTATAATGGCTTAAACTTCTCTATTTTCAGTCAAACAAATCAAAGCTGAACTGTCTGATAAGACTAGATTTTCAACAACCTATTAAAATAATTTCTATTACTTCTTTTATGGTTTAATCCATACTAAAGAACTGTTTAGAATAATATATATAGGCAGGTATTTTTGCTTTTTCATTTTATAAGAACACTAGTAATTAAGAGGCTGTCTAAGAAAACTATTGTTCTATTTAGATTATTTACCAATTCAAATAACCCATTTTTTATAATTAATACGATGTCTCTTCTGTTAATTTATCCAACATATTAATCATTGCTATTAACAATAGGAATGATAAAAGATTTATTATTATGCATCATAGTATAAAATACTCTTGCTTAAAATTAAATAGATACTAATAAACAGTTTCGTTTTCTTTACAAGTTATAATTTCTTTTGATATATTATAATTGGAAAAAAATGCTTTAATACTTAATTAATGTTAAGATAGAATGTTATTTTATTATTTTAATACTGCTCCTAAATATTAGGTAAAGCCTTTGATTAAAAATGATAAGATATCTTTTTGATGAATAACTCCTTAAAACATTAAAGTCTCTGGATCGATCACAAAAAGTCGACTATTGCCAGACTTCACAATTTTAACACAAGCATCATATAATCTTTCATCGTTTCTGCCTTGTACAAATCCGGAAGATTACAACTATTTGAATAAAGAGTTAGAAATTACATCATCTTTCACAATGCGATTCCACTGTTTTATCGAAATAGTCTTCATTTCATAAATTAATCTTAGTTTTTAATCATCGTTCAATTCACTTGGTGGTAGCTTCTGAGATTATTTCTTCTAAATAATTTCTTCTTGGTCTTCGCTCTCCTCTTCAATTACATTAAATAAGGGACCAGACTGTTGTACTTAATTAGATGTAATTTTATACATGAAGATTTATTGTTAAATGCATTTTCGTATAATTTTAAGAGCACTTTTATCAAATCTGAGTGTGTGAATACTCCATCATAATTTGAAACATCTGAATTCCAGAATAAAGTTTCTTCTATGTTTTCCTCAACAAAGATGTAAAATACTTCCCAACAAGTAAATGTCTAATCCATTACGACCAACTATTTATTTAATCACACTCATACTTAGTTGTGATGGGCTAAACAATCATACAGATTATTATCTTTTAGAAATTAAGTGATTGTGTCTTTGTATTTGCTAATTTCTTAAGTTGAGATTTATAATTAATTCATAATATAAATTTTATATCATTAATTGAGCTCTTTACTTATTGAATCAATAAATCTTAAATTCTACATTTAATTTATGAATAATTATCTATTCAAGCAAATTAAAGTCTATGGGCATCTCAGATTCTTTCACTTCTAAAGGATCATAGATTATTATTTTGAATGGCACATATTCTAATTTAAAATAATGTAAATCATGTTTAATTGACTTATTAATCTTAGCTTGTAACCCATTCCTAAGGCATGATTAACTTAATTCATTGGATAATGGGAATTCATTTAAATCATACACAAACCTATACTTTCCATCTTATTTTTATAATTTTATCATTATTAAGAAAGTTTCTAATTAAACCTTCTATAACATGTAACAGAGTTGTAAAAATTCTAAAAGAGTGAAATTATGTCTGAAGATTGTTTTTTTGAGTTATTTCAAGATTAGCTGAGGTGGATGTAATGTTAAAATTACATAATTGGAATCAATTTCGCACACTTGTTTTAAACATTTTTTATTGAGATCGATTAAGCATTCTTATAATTAATCTTAATTTACTTGCTTGTTTAATTTATAATTGTTTTAAAGTGCTTTGATCATATATGTCAATCCCTACTTCTTTAATCCTCAAATTATGAAATTGTCTAATGTAAGTTCTCTGTTTTCCAAAATTGATCCTTTAACACTATGCTAAATGATAATTAATACATATTATTAAATTGTGCAAAATTTATTTCCAATTAAATGCAAAACATCTGAATTTGTTAGATAGATATCTTCACTTTACGCTGAATCCTAAAAGTAAGCTGATAATCTCGGATATTGAATATCAATCATACCCAAATCCTCCGAATACACTATAGTAGGAGTAGATGGAATTGAATATTTTTAAAATTGTTCTTGATGTTGACCAATGTTGATATTTATGTTTTCATTTTTATTAATCTAAAGATTTTCGCAAATATATTTAGCGATCATATCAATAGATTCCAAATGCATTAATTAAGTTGTTTCTTCAAAATTCAAATTTCTTATGAAATTTCCAAATTGTATTGTAAAAGTATGAAAAGTCAGTAGAACAGCATATGAATCAGTGAGCACTATCTTTTCATAACAAATTTATGTTTTAGGGATGATTTCAACTAATTTTAGAGTTTCTAACTCTTGATAGGAAATTTGGTTTATTGATTTTTCAACTTAGTGTTTTTGTGGAGATCGCTAACCAAATTTTTATTCTTAATAAATTTAACTTGTCTCCATTTAATCATTGTCACATAGATATTAGAAATTTTTAATATCTACATTTTTTTTTAGAGGAGAGAGAATTCTAGGTTTTCTTAAATTAAAATTAATCATTTTGGCTCTTTTTATTAAACAAGCCATAATAATATAATAGTCATATCTTCAAACATTCCTTCATTTAATATCCAACTATTTTTACATTGCTTGTATAATGAGTCACAAGCTGACTTGATTTCATGCAAGGAAAAACCTTTTAGTTGACTCATTATGTCGTTCTCCTCTTGATAAGCATAGACTGATGCAGTTGATAATATTAAGAAGGTATCCTTAATAGTTATATCATATTCTCGAAAAAATGGTTGAGATGATACTCCGATTACATGCGCAATCACATCGCCTAGACTTCTGGTCACATGCAACTACGGGTACAACCTGCCTCTTACAAATACGTATTCTTCCCCCTGAGGGATCTTTCTAACTTCGCCTCCGCTATTAAAAATCCTTGCTTTTTCAGAACTATCACTAGGTGTATGTATGGGCAATGTTTAGGCCATAATGTTACTTTCTTTGGTCTGATTGACTTATTCTTTATAAATGTAAGCTCTGTTGTCTCCAATTTAAGCACAATATAACTTTGAATCCCTTTAAATGATAACTAAATAGAAGGATTTGATTTACCTGTTATGACGCAACCACTAAGCAAAATGTTGTGAGTGTCATCCAGTTTCTTTTTCTCAATGTGCACTTTTAATTTGTTTTGTAACTTTTTAAATATAATCTCCAACCCTCTCATTGGATTCGTATAAAAGGTTGGTGTTCTAATTAAGTAATGAAATACCATTCTATAGGTTAGATTACTAATTTTTTCACCAAATTCTCCATGTCCATTACTCAAAATCAGGATCTTTTGATAATTGTCATTGTAAATTAAATAATCTTAGGCTAAAGGGGCTGTTTCATTTTTATTTCCCTTTTTACTAATGACTGCTATTCCAATTTGGTTTAATAGTTATTCAGGGGAGTAATCAGCTTGTATTTCTGATTCTTGATCCTCCGACTCTGAGTCTAATAAATTTGATCGACAGGATAATTTGACTAATTTATCTTTTCCTGGTAATAATTTCTAGTCACTTATTTGAGTTCTGATATATAATTGAGAAAGGGGATATTGATGAGGGAAAGTTTATTACTTCAAATTAATAGTATCAGCCACATCTCTTATTTCAAAATTAGCTAAAAATTATTAATCAACTTTCGAATTTACGCTACTTTTTCTGGATGTAACATTCTCTTCAGCCTATTAGATTAGTTATTTTATTTTTTTAGTGTTGACGTCTCTTTCTTCAAATGAGTCATCACTTTAGAAGTTTTAGAATTTGGTTTATCTTCTATCATTGTATAATTGTTTTTCTTCAATGTCGCTTTCCTCCTCACTGTCAGTATGAAAAGAATTCTTTTTCTTTTAATGTGAAAGATGCATTTTACTTGATTTAACTGATGGACTTGAAGATTTTGATATTTAATCGCTGTCATCAGAATAGACGACAGAAGGCTTTTATTCTAATTTTACAGTTTATCTAGGGGATTTATTTTAAAATTAGGATTCCATAAAATTCTTAGTTTCTAAATTTTTAAACATAGTCATTTTATTTGTCCATTTTCTTGATAATTGTGATTATTCAATTCCAACTCCCTCATCAATAAATATATTATTCTAGGCTGGCAAATTTTAATTTTATTATTCTTATTCTACACTTGCACCACTACCCATAAATGAATCGATATTATTTTTATAATGCTTAATTAACTAATTTATTATAAAATAACTTATAAACTATACAACATTTTTTATCATTCAAATTCCTTTAAATAAGAGTTACCTATCATATTAGTTGATCTCCAATTCGTATTTATGATATATTGATTTCATACATTAAAATATGGAGGCAGTAATTTCATATTCTAATTTCAAAATTTATCAAGTTATTTACAATTATATAAGATGACCAAATAATATCAAAATTTCAAAAGAAAATGAAATCTCCTTTACTATATGCTCAGGCTTTGAAATATTTATTAAAAATATCACTTAAAATGATTATTTAATGATATGAAGAGTAAAAATATAGAGAGGACGAATCAACAAGAAAAAACCATTTTGTCATCAAAAATTAAGTAACATTTAGGTTAATGAGGGTAATTAATTAAGAACATCGAATTATTCCTTTGAGAAGAGGCAGTATGAATTACAAAATGATATCTGGTTCTTTACAAAAGGATCAACATACATTCTTCTTTTTTTTTTAATGTCTACTCCTAGTTTATTTATTAAAAATTGATTAAATTTCATTATTCTAATGTTTTTTATTAATCATTTTATTTTATTATTTTATATTCAGTTATGATTAAGTTTGAATTACGAAAATTATAACACTAAATTTATCACTGTTTCTTTAATGTTCCAATGCGATTTCTTAGTAGAAATTTTATATAAATGTCTATTTGAATTGTTATTCACTCAAATCTTGTTGATTTATATTATAAAAATTATAATATGTAGAATTTCGAAGATGAAACATTTGTCCGCTAACTGATGTCTGATATAAGTAGACCTATTGCTGATAAGTAACCACATCGTTTTTAGATAGACTTGAAAATATATAGAAGGAATTCGAGAGTATTAAGCTTAGTATCCATCAACACAGTAGAATGATAGATATTTTGTCAGATAAATCAGATCAATTATCTTTTGATATGTACTGCAACATCATTTATAATAGCAAACTCAATAATGATATAATCGAGCATCTCAGAAAGAATATAAAGGAAGATTAATAAAAAGTATTTGAAATTGAAAACCATTTTAATTTGGATTTCAATAATACCAGACTAGAATAAGGAGTCATAACACAAGAATAGCATAATCTGAAGAAGGAAATCAAAATCTTAGGTGATGTCTAATAAAGTTTGACTGAGAGAGTTGAAATATATAATAATTACCTAAGTCAGAAATTGTACTAACAAGAGTTTGCAATTAGTAATGTCGACACATCTAATTCAAAAGTCATCAAAGAAATAACAAATTTAAATCTCAAAGTATCTAATCAATCTATTTAATAGAATCAGGAAGAATTATAAACTTAAAAAATATTAACTTAAGATATACTAGCAAAAATACAAAAGAATTCATAAGAACTCAATAAAACCATCTGCAGTTAATAATGGATGTAGGATATGATCGTTGAATTAAGATAAAAATCATAATTCTATCTTACTATTGATTAAGTAGATTTACAATAACAATAATAAACTCCCTTAATTAATCTTCCAACTGTGATATCCTAGAGCTGTTAAATTTCAAAGTATCAATCATATTGTTATTAGTTAAGTTGACTAACAAGATTTCTCTGAAATTATTGCTGAAAAGCTTAAAAAACTAAAAAATTAGATTGATACAGAAATGTAATAATAAAAAGAATTAAATTCAATCTAAATAGAAGAATTAAAAAAAGCATTAAATACTTTTAAGTAAGATTTTCTTAGAAGACTTCAATAAATCTAATCCAATTTAAAGGACACGAATGATAAGTTATCAATCTCAATAGGCGAAGTTCAAGATTAAAAGTTGAGTTTCAAATAACAAATCAATTAAATTAATGAATTGATCCAAAAATAATTTTCAAAGATTTCTTAAGATATTTAAACCATATAAACTAATATAACAGGATTGGATCTTCGGATGGCAGAAACACATTCCACAGTTATTCACGTTTAAGATAAGTAGAAGGAGACATAAGTACATTAAGCACCATAGGAGTAGTTTAATAATTAAAATGACATTATCAGTCTACTGCCTATTAAATAAGAGTCCTAATTTTATGATTCATTTTAGTTCAATAATACTGTTACTTAAAAATTTATTAAAACAGATTAAACTATATAATTTCAGCCTTCATAATTGAATAGTGCCAAAAAATAAAGAGAAACCTAACTTTTTGAACCAAAATAAACGCAAGCAATTATAGAAAATTCAGACAATTAAAATAATTTGATTATTCCATAAAGAAAGGTTCAAAATGAAATAGTTAAATTAAAGTCAGATTTCTTTAATTAATAGCAATACAATCAAAATCAAATGAATAAATTGCTAAAATAGAAGTCCATTACAGATTAAGAACTCTAGGATATTGATAAATAACTAAAATAATTTAATTCGTATTTTGGGGTGATTTTCTCTTTGATTTTACATAACGAGTTAATTGGGACAGATTATCAAGCCAAGATAGTAGGTAATGGATTTAAATTTGAATTCTTACCTTTTTAATAGGATGAAAAAACAATGATATTATATTAAAGTAACAGGATTTCGAAAGTAGATCTCTTAATGAAGACTATTATTTGCACTCACTCCATAATCACGAAACAAAAATAAAATAATTTCTAGTTTTAATAAGAAAAATCGAAGTAAAATACAGAAATAAGTAGAGAATTATAAAGTAAAATTTATAAATATCTTTACAGCTATGTATGTTAATAAAAAGAATAGATTCATAGATGACAAATACTAGACTGAAAGACTCAATTTATCTCTAGAAACTCCAGCAAAATAGAAAGTGACGAAGGTTCTAGTAAAATACAAGAAATTATTGGATTGATTATTTTTTTGTAATATAAACGATTAAAATGGAGAATTAATTAATTGCTTTCGTGGGTGATCCTGCAGTTGGGAAGACTTCAATTATTAAATATTTAAAGGGTCTGGAATTTGAAGAGGATTACAGTCCAACTGAATAGATAGAGAGCACAGATGTTACAATTCAAAATAATGAAACTATAACTATTTATGATACGCCAGGGAATACAGCAGAAAGAAAATAAGTGATTGAAATACTAAAGAGTGTTCAAATAGTGTTTGTATGCTTTGATGTTGAAAATATTGATTCATTTGATTCAACATTGTAATGGTTAGATGACATCAAAAAATAAATAAATAATTCAATGCAAGTTTGTCTTGTAGCTTGTAAAATTGATTCTGATAACAGACAAATTTCTTAAGAGCAAGCATTTGAATTTATTAATGATTATCCAAATGTTGAATATTTGGAAATTAGTGTAAAGACGGGTGAAAATATGGATATGCTCATTGATGTAACTAAAATTCATTATTCATCAGAAAATACCAATAACAACACCTGAAGGGGAAGGAGACCTATAATAATCTTACAGAACTCAACAATCAAATAAATAATCTGAAAAACCTGCTCCTAGTCCTGAAAGATAATCATAGACATATAAGTCTTAATCAAGCATGTTGAATAAGGAGGAACCTCTTTGGAAGGTCTATGACTTTTTATTTCCAACTGGGAGAGTTGCTAAACTAGTTAAGATATCAGATGTCAATGCTAAAAATCTATCCATTTAAGACATACTATTTAAATTGCAGTTAAACTAGAGTTATCCGGTTGTAAATTTAATTGGCGCAAAGGAAACAAATAAGGGTAAATTCTATGCAGGAATTGCAAGGGCATGCTTTAATACAGTATTCAATTGGTCTAATTGAATTTAGGATGCTGTAATAGTAGACAGTGGAATTTCAACAGGAATTGAAAAATATGTGATTAGAAGAGGAGTCAAATTGATTGGAGTCGCTCCAGAACAAGAAGTCAAATATCCAAATTAAAATACTGGGTTTATAGACCCCTTTGAGATTAGTAATGGACATACTCATATATTTCTTTTAAGTAATCTTTAATAATAATTGCAATATAGATAATAAGGAGAAAATGATGGTATTTGGATTGGAAGGGGTTTTTAAGATTAATTTGTGTAAAAAGTAAAAATAATTATTATAATTTAGATTGGCTGAAGGTAGATTAGCCAAAAATGGTTAAAGAGAAAGTTTGAAGGTTGTTCACATACTTTTAGGAGAATAGGAAGGATTTTTAAATGAATTACAATAAGCAGTAATGGCTAATCATCCAATTATAGTGATAAAGGGGTCTCCTTTATGTGATTAATACTTTTAAAATTATAATAATCCTCATGCAAATTATTCAAATGCAAGTAATTATATTCTCTTATATAAAATAGGTTTTGGATAATTAGTAAGGAAAGGACACTTTTATGGACTAAACAGATTAGATTCAGAAGATATTGCCCAGTATGTCCATTTCTTTTTGACTGTGACTCCATATAATTGATTAATTATTCTTATTGTAAATTAAAGAGGTCGTAAATTGATGATTTAAACCTACTGAGTCATTTTTTCTCAGGTCCCCTTTGTTTATTATGGAATTTAAATTTTTTATTATTAAAAAGGTCATAAACACTGGATTTTGTTTTAGTAGATACTTCTTAATGGATAAATCTCAACTCATAAAGGCTATCTTTCTCCCATAATAGATCGCAAAACAATGTTAAATTGAATAGTCTAAAATTAAAATTAAAGATAATTTTAGATTAAAATTTCAAGTATAAATTTTTTGACTTTAGATAACTTTGCTTCAAAGAAAACAATAAAAAGCTTGCAAAAACAAAATTAAAAATAATTAATTTGGAATTTGTTTTAAGATGAATTTATTTGTTTATCATTTTTATAAAGATAATTAAGAAAACCTATTCTCTTTACTGATAAAATGAATATTTAAAATTGAATGCATAACAAAGGGAAATTCTGTTTAATACATAATCAATTGATTGGAATACTGTTACAATGTTTTACTTATATAAATATATTATTTCAATTTTGCTTGATAAAAGTAAATTTTTAATCCGAAGGGTTAATTAAGTACTTCAAAACAGATTCTTCTGGCTTGAAGTTATAATTAGACATAAAATTGAATCTGTTTGCAAAGATTTTAAATATCTCCTTAATTTTAAAACTGCTACTTCCAATATCGTGTTCAGGATCTTAAGGACTTATCAAGGAAAATTTCTCATCAGGGGTAGGTTTATTTATTATGCTTCCTCCATTTACCATCAAAATACGCTTTCTTTGATAATCAAATTTCTAGCCATAGAATTCTAAGAACCTTAATATATACTCTCCTAAAGTTATATTTTTCAATTGTTCTTATTTTTTATTCGCAAATGCTTCTTTCCTGATTTCTCTTAAGAAGGCTAATATCATTTGAAAAAGTAGAAAGGAACCTATTCCTCCACTATATGTTTCATTTAACTCGCGTTGCTTCAGAATACATTTTAATATCATTATTAGATATTTGAATTCAGGGTAGATGGTAAATGCTTTTCGAATTTCATCAATTTACTTTAAGCCATCCATCTAATTGAATGATATATCAAATTGATATTAAGATTCAACTTCAAAGAATTTTATAATTGGCACTTTTGCATTGGCAATTAAATTAACATTTTCAAACTTATCACTTTTCATCAAACTTTAGGCTACTTTTTTATACAATTCTTTAGCAGACATACTTTTGTCTATCATCACAACATCAATATCTGCATTAGGCAAATAAAGCTTTGTTTTAAAACTACCAAATGCTTAGATATCTACTTCTGAAGCAAATTCTTTTATAAAAGTTTCAACTCTCATGATTGCTTACTCTCTTCTTCTATGCTCTTCAGCTGTAGGAATGATGTAATCATAAAAATCAATGATCTCATTGTGAAATCTAATTGTTGGATGTTTAATAGATGCTGTTTTTTGACTAAGCCATGGAGTAATCTCGCTGTCAAATTAGTACTCATTTTACTTTATTTATTTTTATCTATTTTGCAAAATCAATCTTACATATTTGGTTCGTCATCATCAATGATTATTGCTTGATTTTTATTTTCAATATTCTTTATTCTCACAGATAAATTCTTATGTTTTTCTTGCATATAGAACCAAAATTTATTTAATTTAAATGTATATATCTGAAAACAAAGCTTAAAGAAAAATATAAGAAGGAATTCGTACCTTCAGGTTTACAATATTTAACCCAACTAAATAAAAATGGAATTTTGAAGAAGTTTTAAAAATTACAAAAAATTAATTGGTATATCATCTTTAGGAGTAATGAATGCTTTTATTTACAAATAAATCACTTCTGCTATTCTTTATGTTATCTATTCTTAGAGTCTCTCTAGTAGGTTTGAGGGTTGCCTATCTTACGTGAGTTACGAATTGATTTAAAATTTAATTTTAAAGTCAATAATGTATGTTAAATAACATCGATGCATAGATTAATTTATGTTATATACTGCAAATTTAAATCAAAGAACTGAACCAGCAGCTGAGGCTATCTTTGGCCATAAATCAGCGGCTTCCTTTCCAACTGGGCCTGTAATTGCAGATCCTTTCATTTCACCCTTTGGATTGATAATAACTCCAGCATTATCTAACAATTAGTTTCATAACTAACCTTCAAAGTAGATGTAATATCCTTCTCGACGTCTGTATGGTTTTCTTTGTCTAACAACCACTGCTTACATAACTAAGATTAAATATTCATTGATTACCCTTCTTTCTAAGTGCTGGTTTACCTTATTTTACTGAGCATAAGACCATGTCACCAATAGAGGCAGAAGGCAATCTGCTTAAATGTCCTTTAATTCCAAAAGTTGAAATCACATAGATATTTTTTGCTCCTGAGTTATCAGCACAATTTAGAACAGCACCAACATTGCATGCAAGTGTTATTCTCAATTTGATACCAACTTGACCTCCTCTTCCTCTCTTTGACATTGATAATTTTAATTAATTTTTAAAATAGATTTGTGAATATTTAAGTCTTAACAAACCATATATGAAAAGGGACTTAAACTTAGGAATATTATTATCATTGCTTCTTATAGATCAATAGCTTATATTTTTTAACTCTTTAGTTCAAATAAGAAAGCAAATAATTCTTAAATAAATGGTGAATCTTTAAGATCATATATTATATATATAGATATATTATTAATAAATTCAGCCAAATTAAATTGCTATACTACCAGGCATAGATCTGTGAATCATCACTTCATTTTCTTCGATCATCATACTCTTAAATTCTTATCCGAAGTAAGCATCCTTATTTTCATTAGTAAAACAAGCTTTTTATCCTTCAAGTTTTGGTTCTTTAAATAAACAAATTCTCAGTTAAGCAGAATTTGGGTATCTAATGTCTAACAAAGCTATCTATTAAATTATATAATATATATGATTACTTCACACTTTCCCATTGATCCCAACAACTCAAATTATGCATTCATAAAATCCATTTGATTGCATATTACCGATGTGAAATAAAACACTTCTCCTTCACAAGCATTCCATAATAATACTACAACACATTTGGAAGTATCAGTTAAATAAATAGGGTATTCAGCTGATGCAGCCATTCCTTAATTTATTAAACAAATCTCTGGCTTGTCTAAGAATAAATAATCATTATGAAATGAAGCAATAACTATATCTTAATTTTTATCTCTTTTGAATTTACTGACTCCCAATATTACTGTCTTATCGCTGTGAAATTTCACTGAATTAGCTTAAACATCAGGTAAGTCCATTCCCATTTTTTAAATTGGATTTTTATTCCCACAAATTTATGTGCTGGCACCACTCCAATCACAATCCTTTAGGAAATTCAAACAAACTTTCCTTTATTCAACCCATTAACCTATTTCCCTTTTATTTGTTTCACATTTTCCATTCCTTTATCCCTATAATTACAATAAATTGCAATAATCTGTTAAGGCCTTTCTATATTAATTAATTGGAATTATTACTTTAAATTTTATCCGATTTTTTAATATTCCTTGACTGATGATAATTATCCTTTTCCTTCCAATACTAATTCGCTTAAACTTTTTAATGTATATCTAATAGGAGTTGGTTCCAATTCTGTTTCTCTTAACCAATCTTTAGGTGTATTTTCTGTACTCTAAGGCCCAATTTCAATAGTGAAACTTTAAGTGCTTAGCTTAGATACATCACTATAAGCCTTGGCTTCTTATTCCTTTGGTAATATTTATTATCCTATCACACCTTTAAGAAGGGCAGATGTAATTGTAGCAGCTTATTTTAGATCGATTTCTTTAAACTTCTTTTAATCAAAATCATCGACTACTCCAGGTGGTAATGTATATACATAACCTGCTTTAGATCCAAGTATGATATCAGTTGCATAATGAGTTCCAAAATTACTTAGAAATTCCAAATATTAAGGTGCTGAATATTCAACAGGGAGAGCAGATAGTTGGTCAATAAAACTTTGATGAAATTCTGCTAATTCAGGAACTTATGTGATTTAAGCTATTTAACAAGTAGCAATAGAAATAACAAATGTTGCAGATGTTTATTCTATTTTTTATTGCATATGATTGAATTCAGATGATGCCGTGAATGCCCATGGAGTAATATCAATATTGGACACTAAATTTACTCTATATTGTTAGAGATACATACCCAACAAAAGAACTCATATAATTTTGAATTTGCTCTGTATTCATGATTACAAATGACTCAAAGTTGTATTTGCATCCTTTCTTTGTGATGACATTTAAATTGTCTGGAATTTTATGTCTTCCATCTGAGGTTACTTATTTTTTGCTATATGAAGTCAGAAAGATGTTTCTCCCTGTAAATCCAGGATCTGAAGTTTCCCTCCAGGTTATAGGGTTTCCAAAAAATAAATTATATCCACTGAAGATGAAATCAATATTAGCAATCGCCTTAGGATCTGATGCTTAAAAATTACCTCCATCATGTATTTCTTGCATTAATAAATGTTAGAGAGTTTTCTACTACTTTTCATTTATTTCTAAGAATCCTCTTGTTAAAACAATAACAATAAGAAGTAATGCAAATCTCATAAATAAAAACGTATTATAAATTAATAATATAATAATGGATTTGATGGATAATTAGTTTTAGCAAAAATTTCAACAGTTGATAAAACTTAAAGAAATCTATTCTACTCGTAATGTTTTGCCTTAGAGGTTGCAGAGATTGAAGCTAGTTGATATCAATTTTCAAATAAAATACATACGACAAAAACAATAAAATAAGTTGAACTAAATAATCAACAGTTCTATTGTTTCTCAAAATATTCCCAAAAAGCAATCAACTGAAAGAAGTTTCTCCAATTCTGTTAACCATCATAATGTCGCTGACTAATAAAACATTTGTGTTAGTTGTGAAAAATATATTTTTGAAAAGAAAGTCACACTTAATTGCCAAAACAAATTTAATCATAACTACCATTCCAATTGCTTAGCTAATATAATGAAATAATAGCTAGCCAATCAGTGTATTAAATTCTAATGCTTGTGCAAAAGCTAAATCAACAATGGATAGATCTCAAGATAAAAAATATTAGAATTAGATGTTTACATCAACAGGTTAATGTTAAATTAGTTATATTACTTAAAAACCCATTACTAAAATATCAAATAATGTGCCAATAAGGATTGCGAATTTTTTTGGATCTATAAATAACAACAAAAATAAATTAAATCACGTTCTAACTCTCCTTTGAAGACATACAAAATTACCTATGTTAATTATTGTCCTGATTGTAGATTTTTATGATTTAATGTAATTAATTTAATATACTGATATTATTTTTTAATTTTGGGCAATTATTTATCTCCTTACATTTTGTAAAACCTTCTTTATTTATTTGAAGATTTGCTTAGTCTTAAAACATAATGTAATTATGATCTATATTAATAATTATTACTGATCACCTATAATTAAATTGATGTATGATTTCAATATTTGAAGACTTATGATGTAATTTTTGCTGTCATATATTCAGAAATAAAGAAAATTCAGTTTTGCTTTGAAAAATCTATTAAATCAATATGATTAATTTCAATCATCATTTTATTTTTTATTGGTTTCTATTTTATTATTTGATTAAATAATATTAATTTGATAATCTCAATTAAACATGTTATTTTTTATTATGTTATTTCCTTACTAAAATTCATGGTTAGATTGTTTAATAATTTTAGACACTATAGAATAAATAATAATTTTAGATAGTAATTATTTAAAATGATGTAATGAATTTGTTTTATACTTTAGATAATATCATTGATCTTCCAAGAACTTCTCTAATTTTGGTGGACAACACAAAGCAACTCCTTTTCCATTTTATTTTTCCATCTCTTCATCCATTACAAAGACAATCAATATTGCATCACATGCAACTCCATATATTGACATGAATAGTGATCCAACAACCAAACCTATGGCACCACATAAGAGTGCAGGTGCTTCTGGATAAGTTACATTATATTTGAACTTTTCTGTTCTTGTAATCACAATATAACAAAATAGACCTGTTAACAAGGCAATAAAACCTCTTCCTAAAGCAATAAATATTTCTCCAAATCCACCAACTGTTGCAAATCTAAGTGGATTTCTTGCAATCAAGAAAATCGCCTCTTTGGCTGAATGGAAGAAACCTTTGCCTGTCATATTACTAACGACATAAGCATTTTTGTTAATATATTGGACACATTTCTCGAAACACCACATACAGCACATCAAGCACTTAAATAAGTATTCAAAGAACTTGTTTTTCTTAATCAATTCTTCTTATTATTTATAAAGGAAGGCTAACCAAATTCTAATGAATTCAATGATGGCTAAGATTAATGATCCAAAAGCAACTGTTCCTAAATGATATCTAAAGAATCTTCCAATAGCAGTTGGCAAAGGAATAGGACCTCCTTCTTAAGCTCTTGGTCCTTATTAGAAATACCAAATACAGACAGAACCAGCAATTATAAATTCAACTGATGCTACGATAAATGCAGAGTTCCATAGTAAACCAAATAAATGAATGTTGGCGAATATTTTCTGATTTTAAGTAAATGAAAACTATCCAAAAGGCAATTGTTTAGGTTTGTTTGTAGTTTCGCCAGAACTGTATAAATACAATGCAACAACGAACCAATAGATGAAATAAAGAAGCATGATGAAAAAGGTTACAAATGGAAGGACAACAACTGTAAAATTGGCTTGAACATAATCGCAGGCAGTCTAAAATTATTACATATTAAATTATACTTCAAGTATGGCAATTGCTAGCCGAATTCTCGAATACATACAGCAAACAACAAGCAATATCACTCCTGCTAAAGAAAATAATGTAATTCCTATATATAGATAGTTTTTAGGATTAACGTTATTTGCTTGGGCTTGTTCTTAAAGAGTTTGGGCATCTATTTCTGCTTGAGCTGAAGCTGGCAATTTTGAAGGATCAGTCAATGCATAGTAGTATCCAGTGGTGTATACTCCTCCTGCTAATAAAACTGTGAATAACAATAAGAGCAAAGTCCATATAACACATCCAGCTAATGTTTCAATGAGGAACAAAAATATGAATCCAAGCACCAAAGATATACCAATGGAACCGAAAATAAGCCATTTGGTTGTGATCATATCATTTGATACTTTTTCCATAGTTTCAACATCAATTTTATCTTTTACTGTTTCATAATATTATTTGGTGGTTGGTAAACACACAGTTTTCATAACTTAAATAAATTTTATTTATGTACATAATTCAGTATTGTAAATTATTACAACTTCTTCTGGATTAGTACTCAACATATTTTATTTACAACTCTTAACGATGGAATTTGGTTAACACTTTAATTCACTTGGTAATTTTGAGTTTGTCTTGGCTTCCTCCAAATGAGACATTTTACTATGTCTGGCTGCCGGTGTAGGCTCACTCTCCTCTTCTACACACTAAATTATGACAATTACATGGACATTCAGATACACAGGTTGTCACATAAAGATACTTTGGATTCGTTGGGTTAGCAAAATAAATGTAGGGATAATCAGCTACATCCTCATCAACTCCGCACGCCCGATCTTAATTATTATAAAATTTTACGATCTGGATCATAAGGTTAGGCAATTCTATGAGGATCCCCATTTTTGAAAGCATAACCACTTATGAAAAACATACCGAAAGTGAAGACAATAAAAAGCAATAGGCAAAAAATATCTGTGCATTCTCTATCGACGACTGGTCCATTTCTTAATTTTGGATCTGTTCCTTCACCCTTTTCACTAGACATTAAATAATTATTAGCAAATAAAAAATATATTAAAATCAAATGAGTTTTTGAAATACTAAAAAGACATGTATTGTTAATTAGATTTGCTTTTATACTTGACTATATGCTTGAATTTAATCATATTTCTGAATCACACCAGATGATTGAATTTAACGTATGCCTTAACATTCAAGTTATGAATAATCAATCACCTTAACCAACAATATTTTCTAGAATGATTTTTTAATATTTTACTTTAATCCCTACATTTTTGATCTTCCTGATAAACAACACTAAAGAAAAAGGAGGCCTAAGCAGTTTTCTCGCTCCTTAGCCAACAATGATCCAAATCCTATTGCTGATAATTTATATGCAAACGAATAGACTGAGAACTAAAGAATTTGGGACAATTTAAAATCTCAAATTTAATAAATGGTTATTATCAAACTCAATTAGAATAAATTATTAAATATGATAAACATCTATAAAATTCTATGATTCAAATTAAAAACAAATTTTTAATCAAAATAAATCCTATTGAATTTTTTGTTAGGTTGGCCAGATAAGCTTTAAATAATGCACTCATTATTTTATCCTTTTAGCTCTTATACACTAGAAATAAATCAAAATTAAAACGAAGAATGACCACTATTTATTATAAATTCTAAATTTGACATTGAGAATTTTGGATGCTTGTTTTCATTAAGATTTCCAGGTTAAAATCAATTCTTATATATATAAATTCGGACTATTTTTATACACTAATCTAATAAATTATTTCAAATAAAAATTATAAAATTTTTATTATTTGAAATTAAAAAAAAATGCATATTATTATCCATATAGGAAGAAATGGTTAGAAATAAATCCTAAGCTAACTTGCCCTAGTCATCAATAAATAAATCAAATCTCAGAAGAAAAGATGAACTCTAGGCTAAAAAAACTGTAAAGCTTTAATAAAAACAGAAAGAATGATAAATTATAATAACGCTTGTATTTAAAATAGAATCTTTTTCCTGTAGAATTTTTATTATAAAATTTATCTGATAAATTTGATTGAATTTAAACAAATTTTAAAGATGAAAAAAAATGATAAAATTAGTATAGCATAGATAAAAGAATCAAATTAAATATTGATGAATGTGAATAAGAATAGGAATATTTAATTTAAATTTGATTGTTAAAGTAAATAAAGTAGTAAATAGAATAGTTAAAATATGATTAAATATATAAATATAGAATAATAAAGTTGTAATAATTTATGAATGATATAATAATGTAAATATAGTAGTAATGAATAATGTTACATTATAAGAAATTAGAAAGTAATAGTATAATATCTATATATATATATATATAATTATAATATTTAATTTGATGTTGGATTCTGTTTTAACAAGACATTTCAAATTTAATGATCATAAATATGATTCAAGAAAACAAACAATGTATATTACAAAAAGAAGGAATTCTCATAATAATAGTTTTGATTTATAATCTAGTAGAGATTAATCATATGGATATTTCAATTAATAATTAAACTACGTACATTATTTAGTATGCTAAGTGTGCAGTAGATTATTATGATGTTCCAATGCCTAAATATACTCATCAAAAGGGATTTTCAAGTCCTGTTAAGAAACTTAAGTAATCTCAAAAAAGAAGTAATTCTTATCATTTCCATTCATAACCAAAACAAAATTGTTAAATACTTAAATTTGAAGGTTATATCTCAAGAGAATCACCATTTAGAAATTGGATAGGAACTATGAATAAATCATAAGCATCAAAAATATCACAAATTTAACGAATTCATGTAATTAATATATATATATATATTTATATTATAGAATTAAGTAAGAATTATAGAAAAGAATCAAAAAAGTGAATCATATCAACTTTAAGAATATTTAAATGCTGTCAATCATAGAATCTAATGGAATTCACTTCCTAAAGTATTCAATTATCAAAGATGTTAAACTCCAGACATTCTAAAAGATGCAAGAGATAGAATTAAAAAGTTTTGAAATTAAATCACCTAGATCATTGATTGTTTATACATTTTATTTTATTATATATACATTTATTATATTTACTAAATAATTAAATTATATATCTATATCAAACCTAATAGAAATTACTTTATTATTCTATTCATAAATTCATATTAAAAACAATTATTTTAGTTATTAATTATCCCCCCTATTTATTGCATACAAAAGATTTTATTTTAAATAATAAAATAAAAAATGGACCCTAATTAGCTCAAGCTTAATCCAAAAATTAAAATAATATCAGCCAGCCAATAGCCTCAAAGTAAAAATATTTAGGAATTGCCTTAAAACAATTTATATTCTTCTTAAGGCTCAAGTAATATTTTTTACCTATTTATTAGATGAAAGGCAGAGCTCAAATAACAATATAAAAATCAAACTATAGCCCTAAATGAATCCTTAAGTAATATATGTAGATTAATAAATTGTAGAGAGCTAGTGATTTTGAAAACCTTTTTTCGAAAGTATAATAAGATATCGAATAAAATGATGTTCTCTATAATTTATCTCCATTAATGGAAAATTAATAAGTAAATTACTAATTCTGGAGATTTGAGTTTAGAGGCCAAGGAAACTTTGAAGGAAAATGCATTAGTGGTCTTAACTTTTATTGATATTAATAGGTGTTTTAAAGTTGTAATCAGATCATCCTGTATCTGCTCCAATATTTTACTTTGATCCAATAAGAGTAGGATAAATTGATGAAGTTATATAGCACTTAAATATTTATGGAGGTAAAATAGTTAAAATCGTATAAAGATCACACTTTATGCATTCCATTATTCACTTATTGGAAATAAACTACATCTGAATATGAAATATTGTAAGCCATTGAGCACATTTTTCATAATCCTAATTGGTAGGAAGGTGATGCTCCTGCTAATCCAGGCTTGTCGTCGGAGACTCAGGATTAAAGAGATTAGATTTAAAGGAATTAGGCAAAATATTTACCAGGTTTTTAAAAGGCATAATGAGTAATATAAGAAAGAATTATTAATAATTATTATATTCTTCACACTTTAAGAAGCTAATCTGTTTAATCGGAAGTTTCAGATTACATTTATTTGGGTAAACTTTTTATACATTTCTTCCTAAAAATTATGATGTTTGATAATCATAAATCATTATATCAAGAGTATTTATATTGCCAAAAGCTGTATTTATATATTATAATAATAGTAATTCTTGTTTGAAGTCTTATACATTAGTTTCTATGAACATGCTAACAAATTATTTAACTAATTGTATTTAGGTTTTATATTATATATTATTTTATACACTTAATATTCAATTATTTTGAAAGTGTTAATGGGGCATACCTTTGTGATAAACTATTTATTTAACAATTAGATTAATATATATATTTATTTTATTGCCTTATTTGTCACTTTATTTTAGTTGCCTTCTTTAAGAACCACTTATATTTAAATAATCATCTAGTTATTTTAATTTGCAGTTTCTAATTAAATTGTCAATTGATTATAGATTATGGTTTAGAAAGATGAAATTTTAATAAATAATATAAAATATAATATTTATGAGTGAAATGAATTGCACTAAGCTAGCAATTTTTAATGAAAACCCATTAAAAAAATAGCACTTGAATTAAAAAAATAAAGATTTAGAGGTGATATTAAGCTCTCCTTAATTAAATAAAAAGCAGATTGTATTTTGCAAACGGATTGAATAACTTGATTTAAGTAACTAGGGTTTAAGTGAGATTAATAAAGAAAAGTTGAATAATATATGGATCATTAAACTAGATTTGTCTCATAATTGCATTCGATAATATGGTGATGAATTTAAGATATTATAAAATTTAAGAATATTAGATATATCAAATAATTATCTTAAAATTTTACCTTTTAATGTAATGTTTCTAATGTGATTTTTAGTTTAATAAATTTCATCCCCAATTATAGAATTTAGATATTTCAAATAATTATCTCAGTATTTTGCCATAAATGCCAGACGAATTAATTTAATTGAATATTGAATATAATTAGATACACCTATTTCCTTAGCTACTGAAACATTCAATTTAAATTTTGTTGCTTACAGGAAATCCAATTTATGAATTAAAATACTACTCATAATTAAAAGAGTTCAGTATTGATTGGGTTATTTATTTGGGTTGGCATGAGAGAATCAATGGGCAATAGCTGGAATAATTTTAGAATTGGTTATAGAAAGAACATCAAGCAACATTCTAAAATATGATAAAACATTTCCTGGGGGACTATTTTAATTATTAAACTACTGATGAGAATGGAAATACTATTATACATCAAGCAGCCTTAAAATAGCATTTAGGGGTTATTTTGGGTTGTAGCAATGTTGTTGATAAAAATTCATAAAATTATCAGAAGTAGAGTCCCATATAAGTAGCATTGTTTTCAGATAAATTTTAGAGTGTTAAATGTTTATTATCTTTGAATGTTAATCTAAATTAAGTAATAATAACAATTATTCTAGCAAAATCTAGTTATAATATCTTTGATTAAATAACAGATAAACTTGATGTAAGGCTTTTTATAACATGGAACTGATCCAAATGAAATGGATAAAGATGGGAATACAGGTTTACATTACTTGATGAACAAGTGGCCTAGCTTTTAATTCCCAGAGAAATATGCTGCTCTTCTTTTATATTATGGGTAAAGTCTTAACACGATTATTAGTGCTTGTCCTCTGATGCTAAACGCTTAAGGATTTAGTCCATTTCATATTGGAGTTAAACGTGGATTTATCTCTGCAGTTTAATTTGCACTATAGTATAAGGGATAACTTGATATTTATGATAGATGTTCACACCCTTTTGAAATAACTTAAGTTACAGGAATAGATAATTTAAGCGTTTTTGATATTTGCATGCAATAAAATCAAATCTAAATGTGTTTTTTGTTGTTGCAACATAGTTAATTTTACATTAGTTGCAAACCTAAATCTTACGGTTGTTTATGGAAACTTATACTGAAAAATAATAAGGACATTTTGTCTGAATATTTTCAAAAATCCAGAAATAAGTTATATTAATATAGAAAATAAATATATAAACCTGAAAAATTATATACTTGTTGCTTCAATTTAACTAAATAATTGAATGCTTCATTTATGAAAATTAATTAACCTAATTACTTTACAATGAGCAAATCGCCGAATTATTATTTTAAAACATAAGATGCTCCTTTATTAAAGGAAGGAGATAATGATCATATCGAATATTCAGACAGTTCGATTGATTCACACGAAGAAACAAAAGGGTTACTGCCTGTTAATTGGAGTCGATATGACTGCAACAATGAAATGAATGCTCCTAAGTTATTCATAGAATCAAATAGTGTTGTAACCGAAAAAGAAAGCCATAGAGGTAATTCAAAAATTAGATAGATGGCAGCAGCTTATTACAAGTATTTATATAATCATAATCAATTAAAAGTGAATATATATTAAATGATAATTTATCAAAAAAGGAGGAAATTTTGATTATTTTACTCAAATTGAATTTCTAGATTAATACAGTCAATTAGATGAGAGATTATTCGATATAAGAAATACTTATGCAAATTGTTTAAGATTATTTCTAAAAATGTGAAATAATATCTGACCAACAAAGCTCTATATAATAAGAATCACTATTTTTTAAGGATTTAGAAAGTATTGATCAGGGTGCTTCCACATGTTAGATAATTTTAATGCCATCCTCTATTAACTACTTAAAATAAAGATTTGATTAATGGACATTAGAATATTTACTAAGGTTTACTTCTAAATTTAGTGAACATTCTAAACTTTCTGAAATTCACTAATTTGAATTATTTTAATTATGAATTATTTTAATACTAAATTATTTATATGTAGAAAGTAGAAGCCCCAAGAATTAAACCTTCTCCAATAGCAGATGCAAAACTATAGACCAAAATATTAGACCTTCTTCGTTAGGCTTTAAATTATAAGCAATTAAAAAAAGGAGCTAATGAAGTCTTAAAAAAGTAAGATCAAGCATTTAAATTAGTCTTGATAAAGGCATTTGCGAGTTAGTGATTTTGGCAGCTGATTGTGATCCTATAGAAATAGTAGCAAACATACCAATTAAATGCGAGGAGAAAGTAAATAAGGATTCTAAAATAGAATGTTTCATATTGTTTTGTGTCAACCTAAGCAAGTTTGGGTAGAGCTTGCGGTATCAGTAGGCCAGTTGTTGCAGCCTCTATTGTATAAAGTGAAGGCTCTTAATTGAAAACATAGATTATTGAAATGAAAGACCTAATTGATTAGTTATTTATTTGAAATAATATTTTGTCAGGTTTATAATCTCAATATTACAATTTTTTAACAATCTCTGTTTTTTATTTGAGATTTTTTGCTCTTCCAATTTCTTTATTTTCCTTCAAAATTATAGATAAATGAAAGGCTTTTAAGAATTAGTAAGCAATTAACCTTAGTAGTTCCAATTCATTGTGATCTTTAATTGAAGTTTGAAAAGATACATTAATATTATTACATCTAGCTCTTTATTCTTATTAATAATTATTTTAAAATCTAGTTGATATTCAAAAAGTAACAATAAATGAAGCATAAGGTTTCATAAATGACTGACATATACAAAGAAATTGCTTACAACTTGAATTTGGAACCTCAAAATGAAATTAATATGTAAATTATAAATAGGTTCATACTATTAGATAATAGCTTATAAATGAGGAAAATTATTGCTAAATTTTTTAAATTCTCTTTCCATCCTTAGAAGTTGAAATAGAGTAGATTAAAAATGAAACAATTTCATCAGGAGAAAAAATATAAGCGCTTATCGAGTTTTTAGTATTAATATACATAATACTCCTAGTCGAATTAAGTTTTGAATTGTAATTTAGCACATATACGCGGTTCTTAAATAGTTAAAGGAGACTTATAGCATTTATCAAATTTTTTATAAATATTGCATGAGTTATCAAAACTTTATAAGGATCGAGCATTAAATTCCGGTATCAGCAGTTAACAAGATTATTTAGTAAATGATTTAAATTCTACACCTCCTTAGTAAAATTCAAATAAATTAACTTAGATGTTTAGAGTATTTCTATAATTCTCAAGATGAAAAATAAACGTATCTAGAAGAAGAAAATGATCACTTCTAAAAATCGAGCATATAATCGAATTAATTTTAAATTAATAAAAATTCAAAATAACGAAATAATCAATCTTGTGAGCAATAATATAAAAAAAGAGATGATAGAAAGTCATCTTAAATGAAAAACCAATAAGGAAGTAATCAATAAAGATAAAAAAGACCTATTAGATCTAATTCATTAAAAAAGCCAACAGATTAAGACCCAAGGATTCAAAAAAAAATGGCATACGAATCAAGGTCTTAACCAAAAAAATAATAGGCATTTACAAAAGATAAAGAAAAATACTCAGAAAATACAAAGTCTTCATAAGATTCATAATATTCTTTGGATTTTGAAACTTCTAATAAAGATGAAGTAGATTACGAATTTTTAAATTAATATGATGAAAGAGTCATCCAGCAATTAGATGAAAATGATCCAATTAAAATTAAATATGTTCTAGAAAAATAAAAAGAAGATATCTTAAAAATTTTATAAGAAAAAATATTACATGAAGAAAATCATCAAAATTTTCCTGCATCCGATGATTAAATAGATAGTTAAATTAAAAATATTAAAGAATCTTTGAAAAACTTAAAACCAAAACCTTCTATTGATGATGTGGAAAATATCAACGAACAAAAAAATTAATATAGGAATTTCTTAAAAGATTAGTTGTAAAATTTTCAATAAATTAAATAAATTCAAAATGTATAAAAATAAGAAAATAACTCAAGAGTAAGTACTAAAACAAAATAGAATGATTTATTAAAAAATTAATTTGAAAATGTTCATTTGTATATGTAACATAAACTAAGGGATGAAAAATTGAATTATCTAAAAAAAATGTATTTTCTATTTTGTTGTTAGTCACCGCATAGTTTTTGAGTTAGAGAAAAGACAAATAATCGATGAAAAATATGACCACAGGTAAGCTAGAAGACAATAAAATATTCTAACAAGGAATATTTTAGATTCAGTTGAAAGTTCCTATGATGATTAAATAGTATTTTTAAAACAAAAAATATAAAAACAACGAAACGATCGATTATATGAAGGTATATCTCAAAAATCAGTATTTGAATTTTTATTCTTTAGATATTATCTAAACTGGAGAAGGAACTTAAACAAGAGAAAATCAGAGACAGGTAAAATTAAAAAGAAGTTTGGAAATATGAAAAAGAGAAATTTGAATAATTGATGAAAGATGATGGAGAATTAGAAAAAAGAATACTTCAAATCTATAAAAGATATTGATAACAATATATGAAACATGCTTCAAATAATAAAAATCTTAAATTATAATAATTTAGTAAAGGTTAAAAACCAGGTTAATTCTTTATTAATTCAATAATTTTAAATAAAAGATAAAGATGTAAAATTTATCTTAACATTATTTAATTCAAGTATATTGGGGTGTCTTTGTTCTCAACATTTTGTCTAGGTATTTATATGAGGAGTAACTTCCTATTTTCTAACATCCGAAAATAGCTCAGTTGGTAGAGCGAGGGACTGTAGTGTTAATCCAGTTATCCCCAGGTCGGTGGTTCAAATCCGCCTTTTCGGAGTTTTTTTTTTGTTTAACATTTTTTTAATTGGGATTAAAATTTCAATGTATATAACAACCTATTAAAAAATGGGTGTATTAGCTTCTAAATAGATGTGGAAATATCGCTATCAAATTGGACATCCAAATTGATTTTTAAATTAGGATGAGCAATTATATGATTTGAAATAGAATATTTTTCAAAAGCACAAAAAAATTAAGAAAAAATACTAATTATAAATTTAAATGTAATTACAATTATATATTAATGATCATTAACCTTATTTTTAAATAATAAGAATTAATAAAAATTCTTTCTTATATTACTCATTATGACTTTTAAAAACCTGGTATATATTTTGCCTAACTCCTTTAAATCTATTCTCTTTTCTTTTGATCCTCCGACGCAAAACCTGGATTAGCAGGAGCATCACCTTCCTACCAATTAGGATTATGAAAAATGTGCTCAATGGCTTACAATATTTCATATTCAGATGTAGTTTTCTTCCAATAAGTGAATAATGGAATGCATAAAGTGTGATCTTTATACGATTTTAACTATTTTACCTCCATAAATATTTAAGTGCTATATAACTTCATCAATTTATCCTACTCTTATTGGATCAAAGTAAAATATTGGAGCAGATACAGGATGATCTGATTACAACTTTAAAACACCTATTAATATCAATAAAAGTTAAGACCACTAATGCATTTTCCTTCAAAGTTTCCTTGGCCTCTAAACTCAAATCTCCAGAATTAGTAATTTACTTAATCCTTTTCCATTAATGGAGATATATTATAGAGAACATCATTTTAATCGATATCTTATTATACTTTCGAAAAAAGGTTTTCAAAATCACTAGCTCTCTACAATTTATTAATCTACATATATTACTTAAGGATTCATTTAGGGCTTTTTTTTGAAATTAATAGACATAATTGAAAATGAAAGTGATAATTAATAACTAAAATAATTGTTTTTAATATGAATTTATGAATAGAATAATAAAGTAATTTCTATTAGGTTTGATATAGATAAATAATTTAATTATTTAGTAAAATATAATAAATGTATATATATAATAAAATAAAATGTATAAACAATCAATGATCTAGGTGATTTAATTTCAAAACTTTTTAATTCTATCTCTTGCATCTTTTAAAATGTCTGGAGTTTAACATCTTTGATAATTGAATACTTTAGGAAGTGAATTCCATTAGATTCTATGATTGACAGCATTTAAATATTCTTAAAGTTGATATGATTCACTTTTTTAATTCTTTTCTATAATTCTTACTTAATTCTATAATATAAATATATATATATATATTAATTACATGAATTCGTTAAATTTGTGATATTTTTGATGCTTATGATTTATTCATAGTTCCTATCCAATTTCTAAATGGTGATTCTCTTGAGATATAACCTTCAAATTTAAGTATTTAACAATTTTGTTTTGGTTATGAATGGAAATGATATGAATTACTTCTTTTTTGAGATTACTTAAGTTTCTTAACAGGACTTGAAAATCCCTTTTGATGAGTATATTTAGGCATTGGAACATCATAATAATCTACTGCACACTTAGCATACTAAATAATGTACGTAGTTTAATTATTAATTGAAATATCCATATGATTAATCTCTACTAGATTATAAATCAAAACTATTATTATGAGAATTCCTTCTTTTTGTAATATACATTGTTTGTTTTCTTGAATCATATTTATGATCATTAAATTTGAAATGTCTTGTTAAAACAGAATCCAACATCAAATTAAATATTATAATTATATATATATATATATAGATATTATACTATTACTTTCTAATTTCTTATAATGTAACATTATTCATTACTACTATATTTACATTATTATACCATTCATAAATTATTACAACTTTATTATTCTATATTTATATATTTAATCATATTTTAACTATTCTATTTACTACTTTATTTACTTTAACAATCAAATTTCAATTTCATAGCTTTTTATTTCTTTATGTAAATTATAGGAGGGATAATATTCTTAATTCCAGGTCTTCATCAATAGAAAAAGATTTAAAATAATATGTGCGATTGTTTGGATGCTTGGTGAGTTAGTATTTTAAAAATTATTTCTATTACAGTAGAAATTATCATAATAGTGCTCATTCTACTCAATCTCCTTTAAACCTTCGAACTTACTATTATAAATACATGATATTCATTTTTCATAAGAAATTAATAATATATAATTAAGACTAATTTTAATAAGTGATTAATTTAAACTGAAAAAGATTTCATATTTATTGTTCATAGTAAACTTCGCTAATCCAAGGTTAATCAGTTTTCTCATATTTATCTGGAGGGAATTTAAAAGATATTTATTCAACAATTGATTATTTTAATTTTGCTGAATCTTTTTTCGGAGGATATAAAACTCCTAATTCAGTATTTGAAATAAAAAGTTGAGTAGCATTCTTCTCTAATCTTCCCCAAGCAGCCTAACTTAAATTATGACTTCCAATATAAATTGATGTTTTATCATCTATTTTTTCATCTATTCCAGTTACTATCATCACCTTTAGATGTGGAATATTGCCAGCATGCCAATAATAATAATTAGAGCCTTAATACCTATGGAAAATATTTTTTGGAAATTTTGGGTTTTCATATTATTGCTTTCTAAGAAATAAAGGATTCGCATATTCTGGCCCAGCAGAAGTTTAATTTTAAATATAATCAGAAGTTGGATAGATTAATTTTAAGGTAGATTTCTCTTCTTCTTATTAATTAAATAGCATCTGAGCAATTGATTTATTATTTTATTATATTTTTTAGGATTATTTAACTTACTATCCAGAACAACATTGTTAAACAAAATCAATATAATTAACATCTAACTGTCCAATACTTGTAGTTTAGTATGCTATACTAACTTATTTAGGGATTTCAAAGTCATTACTTTTAAGTTCTGAATTTATAACAGATTAAATTCTCATCATCCCATATTTATTCATCTGATTACCAGTGAATCTTCCAGGAATTGATGTAATCAACCTAATATTGATGTTTTGAAAGTCGTAATCATTATATTTTATCTTAAGAAGATCTTCAAACTTATGAGAATTTGGAAGAATATTATCTAAAAATTCTTTCAAACCTACCTTAAATTCTTTTGAAATTTCATCTAATTCACTATTCCCTATTTGAAAATCTTATATCCACATTGCTTATGACCAAACAGTCCAATCTCCGACATGTAAATTTTAACTCCCTATAACAATTCTAATAAACTTTGGGAATTTCAATATCCAAATTTTTGGATGAAATGACCCTCCAAAAGTTACAGAACTTAATTTTGAAGGTTTAATCACAGTCCAATTTCGATGACCATTAAATTCTTCAATAATTTCTAGCTTTTTGTCATTATTATCATTATCATTAATAATAAATAACTTGACTCCCGATAAAACTAAGGGTTTAAGTAAATGATCCTCAAAACCATAGCAAGTCATCAAAGCAGCTTCTAATGTAATTTTAGGCTTTTCTTTTTATACTATATTTTATTAATCATTTTCATACCATCAGAGTAAGCATTCTCTTGTATAATATTTATGAATGATAATATATGCGATTATTTTTCTTCTTTAGGATATTAAGATATTTGATTTAAGCAAAACTTACCAACTGGAAAGCAAAGCTTAATTTTTTCATCAACTTATTTTACTTCATCTCCTTCATTTTATTTTATCTCTTGCTTCTCTTATTTTATTTCCTCTAGTCTCTTTTAATTTTCTAAGTATAACTATTTTTAAAGAGAATTAACATTTATATAAGAGGAATTAATTTCCTCTTATTCTTCAGAGAGTTCCTAAAGAGTTCTTTTTTTCATAATTTTTTTTATTTTATGAGAAAGAATTGAATAAATATAAATTCAATTAATGTTTATATTCTTTGTAATAAAAATCTTTTCCCACTTTTCATCAAGATATTGAATTCCGTCGTTTGGATGATCCTGAATCCGATGGTGATCTTCTAGGACTTATGCTTCTCTTTTTTTATCTCGTATCCCTTCTTGGACTTCTACTATGTCTTTTTCTTCTGTTTTGATATCTTCTTCTTCTAGATCTCGAAGATGAATTTGAAGAGTATGATCTAGAATCAGATCTTCTATGGCGCCTCCTAATTTAAATAGCTTTAAATACTTGGATCTTGAATTAGATCTTCTTCTGCTCCTTCTTGGTGATCTCCCATTAGGACAATTACGAGCCCTAAAGAATATACCGAATTTATATACCAATGACCACCTTTACTGCATTTGAAACATTTATCCTCCTCATTTGGTCCAGTTTTTCTTCCCTTTCTGTTATCTACTACATCTACTTTCAATTTCTATCCGTTATATGTTTCCCCGTTTGTTGCCTTTAACGCATCTTGCGCTTCTTGTTCATTACTAAAAGTCTTAATTTCAAATAACTTCATACTACAAAAGAGTAAGATCCCTTATATGCCACATCCTTAATTGTTCCATACTTTTTAAAGATTTCCTTTATATCTTTGTCTCCAGATACTTTGCTACGACTGTAACCTGCAACAAAAAGTTGATTTGGGACAATATCGCCCATTTAATTAAATTTATGAACTAAATACACTTTTTCTATGAATAAAGAACTATAAATTTGGTTAAAAACCCAAATAAAAGCTGTGTATTTAAAATGAAAAGAGAGAAAAAATACAAAATTTGCTAAACAAAATCGAAAATTGTTTAAAGCTCAAAAATTGGATTAAAATTCAAGAAGAGATTCTTTAAGAAAATAAGTTACAAATAACACTCAACTATATGTTAAAATCTCTTTTCAAATGCAATATTAAAATGTAATCTTAGAATCTTAGAGAGCTCATCTAACTTCTGCTTATTATAGTGTTCACATTATGGAATTTCCAGATGATTATAATACTAAAAATCAATAGATTGAGTTAATATATTTAATTTTTTATTTTTCAATAACTGATAAGGTTTACCTATTATTGTATTAAAATTCTTAATTTTAATCCTAAAAATGATAATTATTTATACTCATAATATAATTTTTATGGAAAGAATTGATAAATTATGACTAAATCTTTGTGCTCTTTGTCCTCATAAATTTAAAAGAAATTCTATGCCTCAATTTTCAATCATTAGATTAATAAAAACTGATTAATAAAGCTTTAGAAAAATAAAAATAGCCTCTTATAATCTAAATAAATTAAATGTGTATTTTTGTTTATCACAAAGATGAAAATTATATTCTTCACTTTTGAAATGAAGCAATTCAAAACTGTTTAAATAGACTTATTTAAATTTCTATAAGAAAAAAGTTAAACCACAACCTCTAATATCTTAATATTCAAGATTCAAGAATTATAATATATATTCAAATGAGGCAATTGGATTTGATGGAATTTATTGTATTATGTAATTATGTTAAAAAGTGAAACTTAGGAATTTAATCCTAATTACTGCTAAGCTAGATATATTCCTTTTAACAAAGCTTCTTAGTTCTAAAATTAAATTGAAATAAGATTATATAATTAATAAACTGAATCTGTACCTGGAATTCTAATATAGATTCATTTTTTTCGTAATCATTCCTTAATTTTGCGATTCTATCAAAAAAAAGACAATTCAAAACTTTCAAATATTAAAAGAATATATTCAAATGATTTATATAAAAATAGTAAGTTCCAGAAAATACCTCTCATATCTTACCCTTAAAAGTGAGACCTTATACTTAAACTGGTCAACCTAAATAACTTAGTCAGGACAGAGAAAAGGACTTTCTTTAGGATCAAGTCAAAGAGATTCTGAAATGATTGAGGTAGTACCTTAGGAGGGGAATATTGTCCATGGGTGAAAGGCCACTAAGATTTATAGTGCTCTTAATCCAAATCAACCTAAGGGGAAAAAAGGAAATGATTGGTTTTTCATTGTCAATATTATTATTATTATTAACCTTTGTAGGTTAATGAATTTTATAATCTCAAAAATCAACTGTTGAGATAAATTTCATAGAGTTCTATTAAGGCTCTTGTTGACTCATTTAGGCTCATCCCTTCCATCTTCTGTGCTACCAAACTGTATTATTCTTTTCAGAATTGTTGATATGATACATTTCTTTATTATTAAGCATGAACAGATTAATTTTTGTTTAATAAATTTTTCTTTTCTCTATAAAGGTTTCTTCTATCTCACCTATTCCCTTATATTCTCCCATTTTCAAGAAAATCAAATATATATTGCTCTTTCATCATGTACTTGTGATTTTCATTTTATAATTACTAGGTGTTACACNAATAGATTGAGTTAATATATTTAATTTTTTATTTTTCAATAACTGATAAGGTTTACCTATTATTGTATTAAAATTCTTAATTTTAATCCTAAAAATGATAATTATTTATACTCATAATATAATTTTTATGGAAAGAATTGATAAATTATGACTAAATCTTTGTGCTCTTTGTCCTCATAAATTTAAAAGAAATTCTATGCCTCAATTTTCAATCATTAGATTAATAAAAACTGATTAATAAAGCTTTAGAAAAATAAAAATAGCCTCTTATAATCTAAATAAATTAAATGTGTATTTTTGTTTATCACAAAGATGAAAATTATATTCTTCACTTTTGAAATGAAGCAATTCAAAACTGTTTAAATAGACTTATTTAAATTTCTATAAGAAAAAAGTTAAACCACAACCTCTAATATCTTAATATTCAAGATTCAAGAATTATAATATATATTCAAATGAGGCAATTGGATTTGATGGAATTTATTGTATTATGTAATTATGTTAAAAAGTGAAACTTAGGAATTTAATCCTAATTACTGCTAAGCTAGATATATTCCTTTTAACAAAGCTTCTTAGTTCTAAAATTAAATTGAAATAAGATTATATAATTAATAAACTGAATCTGTACCTGGAATTCTAATATAGATTCATTTTTTTCGTAATCATTCCTTAATTTTGCGATTCTATCAAAAAAAAGACAATTCAAAACTTTCAAATATTAAAAGAATATATTCAAATGATTTATATAAAAATAGTAAGTTCCAGAAAATACCTCTCATATCTTACCCTTAAAAGTGAGACCTTATACTTAAACTGGTCAACCTAAATAACTTAGTCAGGACAGAGAAAAGGACTTTCTTTAGGATCAAGTCAAAGAGATTCTGAAATGATTGAGGTAGTACCTTAGGAGGGGAATATTGTCCATGGGTGAAAGGCCACTAAGATTTATAGTGCTCTTAATCCAAATCAACCTAAGGGGAAAAAAGGAAATGATTGGTTTTTCATTGTCAATATTATTATTATTATTAACCTTTGTAGGTTAATGAATTTTATAATCTCAAAAATCAACTGTTGAGATAAATTTCATAGAGTTCTATTAAGGCTCTTGTTGACTCATTTAGGCTCATCCCTTCCATCTTCTGTGCTACCAAACTGTATTATTCTTTTCAGAATTGTTGATATGATACATTTCTTTATTATTAAGCATGAACAGATTAATTTTTGTTTAATAAATTTTTCTTTTCTCTATAAAGGTTTCTTCTATCTCACCTATTCCCTTATATTCTCCCATTTTCAAGAAAATCAAATATATATTGCTCTTTCATCATGTACTTGTGATTTTCATTTTATAATTACTAGGTGTTACACTTTTTCTAAATACTTAATTTGCTTTATGTTATACCTTAGTATAAGTTTTCTTGGAACTGATGGTATTGAAGCTATAATGTTTCACTTTTTTCAATTTTCTGAATTGGGACTTTTATTGATATATCCTCTCTGCAGTCTATTTGTAGAGGATCATTCCCTCCTCTGTATTTCTCAATATAAGAATGCTTATAAATTTGAAGGATTCAGCACTTAGAAATAGTTGTAAAGATTAAACAATGTAAGGATGCTCTAGAAGCCAAGAAAAAGATTTATTAAGATATTATATTTAAGTCCTTTAGCATTCTTACAATTCTTTTAGCAAACCTCACAAATTCGTTCTCCCTTCTTTCTAATTAATTTTTAATTCCACTGTCTGTTCTTTATTGCAAGCATTAGTTTTGAATTCCATTTCATTTAATTTTAAAGTTTTTTTGTTTTAAAATATATGACCAACCCAATGAGTATTGATCTCCTTTCTGTATCAAATTTAGTGCCTCCTTGTATTATTTACCATAGCTGAATGGCTCATTTTCAAAGTAGATTGTAAATCCGTAGTTTTACTATGAGGGAAAGATGATTATATTTTTTAATTTTCTCTTGTTGATTTTTTTCTAAAGAAATTTCGACAAAAACTTGCCTCTTAGGAATAAATGAGTCATATGTCTTGTAAATTAAAGTTTCAATTGTTGTATATATGTCATGAAACTAACAATTTTCAGAATTATACTGGAATATAAGGTTTTCGGTATTTATAATTTAAGGCTCTTCATTCATTGTATAATCTTAAAATTATGGAGGGTAATGTGATTAATTCTGTTATTGCTTAGAAGATTGTTGAAATACCTGTGTCATATTTGCTTTCTAAAATGTTCTCGTTTGTAGTTGATAATCTGAGAATCTGATCTATCACTGTCAACCTTAGACTCACTTTAAAACTAATCCATTAATTAAAAATATTTTATTCTAGCTAATTAATTAATAATCGGATTGCTTAAGGTCTTTTTCTCTATTTTTTCTTCTTATTGCCATGATTTTTCAATTTACTTTATTTTATAAGATTATGAAATAGACTTCTTTGTATAAATATAGAATATCACTTCTAACAAAAGTTTTTGCAAGAACTATATTAAATTTTAGAATAAATTGAAAAGTCTTGTTAGTCTAAAAATAAAGTTACACAAGAAATAATAACAGATTTAAATGAAATATTAAACAACAAATTTTCAATAGAATCAAATAATATAAAATCTTAAAAAAATTCAACAAGGACTTTGTGATTCCATAATTTTTTTAAGTGCCAATTCTGTCGATTTTATGATAATACATTTAGTATACAATAAATGTTAAGAAATGTAAGAACGTACTCTATATTATAAATTTTACAGATTGATTCAGCTAAAAGGAAGCACTTCTAGTTTAGCTCTTCTTTTTTACTTAGTTTAAGGCATTCACTTTAAGTACTATTCTATGAATAATAAAAATCATTAAAATTTATATAATTTATATTTTATGTCGGAAATAGAGGAAATAAATTTAGAGTAGACTACATCTAAGAATAGATAATCGAGACAGTAAGCTTAAAAAGGAAAAACTCGAAAACCAATTCGGAAATTCAAAAGATAGAATAATTCCTTCTAATTCAAAGGTAGGGATAGAGAAAGAGATATACCAAGATAAAAAGAATGGAAATAATAATAGAATAGTGGAAATGCTCCAGAACTCTATGAAATTGATATCTACAACTTTTTGGCAAAAAACTAGATCTCAGATCTCATTGTAATAGATTGGTTAATTTTAGAGCGATATAAAGACAAGATGTGGAGAATTAGTAAAACTTCATATCGTCGCAAACAACATTTAAGAAAATGAAGCTGAGACGAGAGTATGATTTAATAATATAAGCAGGTGATTCTAAAGGCTTTTTTTAAGGATAAAAAATCAGCTGATGAATGCTATTTTTAATACAGTGATGCCACTCTAGATAAGTTGCTTTTAAGAACAGAGCGTAAATATTGATGTAAATTTAATATATATAAAATAAGAGATTAATATGAATTATTCAAATTTAAAAGTAAGCCCTTTATTCTTATATATAAAACCATCCTCATTCATGTCTTTCAAATACTAGACTCTCAACTAATAGAGAGAAGGATTGCTAATTTTATTAACTATGATTTCAACATCATATTTTAATGATGCCATAATTCCTAATAGAACGAAATGATTGCATCAAATTTTGATCTCTTTCATTAGAAATTAGTACTCTTTTAAACCAAAGAAAAATATTATGTAAAGTTTAATAACAGATCAAATCTCATTTTTACTATTAANCTATTTTTTCTTCTTATTGCCATGATTTTTCAATTTACTTTATTTTATAAGATTATGAAATAGACTTCTTTGTATAAATATAGAATATCACTTCTAACAAAAGTTTTTGCAAGAACTATATTAAATTTTAGAATAAATTGAAAAGTCTTGTTAGTCTAAAAATAAAGTTACACAAGAAATAATAACAGATTTAAATGAAATATTAAACAACAAATTTTCAATAGAATCAAATAATATAAAATCTTAAAAAAATTCAACAAGGACTTTGTGATTCCATAATTTTTTTAAGTGCCAATTCTGTCGATTTTATGATAATACATTTAGTATACAATAAATGTTAAGAAATGTAAGAACGTACTCTATATTATAAATTTTACAGATTGATTCAGCTAAAAGGAAGCACTTCTAGTTTAGCTCTTCTTTTTTACTTAGTTTAAGGCATTCACTTTAAGTACTATTCTATGAATAATAAAAATCATTAAAATTTATATAATTTATATTTTATGTCGGAAATAGAGGAAATAAATTTAGAGTAGACTACATCTAAGAATAGATAATCGAGACAGTAAGCTTAAAAAGGAAAAACTCGAAAACCAATTCGGAAATTCAAAAGATAGAATAATTCCTTCTAATTCAAAGGTAGGGATAGAGAAAGAGATATACCAAGATAAAAAGAATGGAAATAATAATAGAATAGTGGAAATGCTCCAGAACTCTATGAAATTGATATCTACAACTTTTTGGCAAAAAACTAGATCTCAGATCTCATTGTAATAGATTGGTTAATTTTAGAGCGATATAAAGACAAGATGTGGAGAATTAGTAAAACTTCATATCGTCGCAAACAACATTTAAGAAAATGAAGCTGAGACGAGAGTATGATTTAATAATATAAGCAGGTGATTCTAAAGGCTTTTTTTAAGGATAAAAAATCAGCTGATGAATGCTATTTTTAATACAGTGATGCCACTCTAGATAAGTTGCTTTTAAGAACAGAGCGTAAATATTGATGTAAATTTAATATATATAAAATAAGAGATTAATATGAATTATTCAAATTTAAAAGTAAGCCCTTTATTCTTATATATAAAACCATCCTCATTCATGTCTTTCAAATACTAGACTCTCAACTAATAGAGAGAAGGATTGCTAATTTTATTAACTATGATTTCAACATCATATTTTAATGATGCCATAATTCCTAATAGAACGAAATGATTGCATCAAATTTTGATCTCTTTCATTAGAAATTAGTACTCTTTTAAACCAAAGAAAAATATTATGTAAAGTTTAATAACAGATCAAATCTCATTTTTACTATTAATATTTTTGAAAATTATGGGAAATATTTGTTTTAAAGAAGAATTTGTTTAGAGTGATTTTGTTAAACAAAAATTTGATGAAGATGATCTCTAAGCAACATCAGTCTAAATAGAAGGCAGAGAAACAAAGTAAAAGGTCAAATTATCCGATTTTAAGAAATTAATACCGCTTGGGTAGGGAGCATACGGAAAAGTTATGTTAGTTGAATATTATAAAAATGGAAAACAGAAGTTATATGCAATGAAGATATTAGAAAAAAAAAATATAAAGAAGGAATCATAAATTAGGCATGTATTTGATGAAAGAAAAATATTAGAGAAGGCAGATTCAAATTTTGTTGTGAAGTAATTCTCTTTATTTCGATTTATAGACTAAGGTATGCATTTTAAAATCATGCTCGCCTTTATTTTATTGTTGATTATATGGCTGGAGGAGATTTTTATTTTCATATAAAATCCCAACCAAGTGTTCCTGATTACTTTATAAGATTTTATTCAGCCGAAATAATATTTGGCTTACAACACTTACATTCTTTGAACGTAATATATAGGGATCTCAAACCGGAAAATATTCTTGTTAGTGAATCTGGACACATCAAATTATCTGATTTTGGTCTCTCTAAAATTCTTGAAGATGACAATGAAAAGGCTAAAACTTGCTGTGGAACAATAGATTATTTGGCTCCAGAAGTTTTAGTAAATGATGGATATACTTTTACTTGTGACTTTTACAGTCTTGGATGTCTAATTTATGAGATGTATTTTGGAAAACCTCCTTTTTACAGTAAAGATAAGAAGTAGATGATGGAAAATCGAATTATTAAATTGGTGCCTTTTTTAGAATTGTGTTCGAAAGAAGCAAGAGATTTGCTTACAAAACTTCTCGAAGTTGATGTATGATATGTTTATGATTACATAAGCCAAAAAAGAGATTAGGAAGAAAAGGAGCTCAGCAAATTTTAGATCATGCTTTTTTTAAAGATTTAGATATAAAAAAGATGCAGGATTTATAAATTTAGCCACCTATTAAACTCATAAAATCAAATAATGTGGATTAAAAAATTTTAAAGGATAAAATGGCAAAGACTTAATCGAAAAAAGAAAATAATAAAATATTTGAAGGATTTACTTATTTCCAGAAGGAAAGCTAAGATAATTGATAGTTTATTTTCTCTGACATTTAATTATTAATGTATAATAATTATTATGTTACCAAAATAAAATGCATCTTCTTATATTATGGTTCTTCCAAGTAGTAATTAATCTTACATATCCACTGAACAGCCATTTGTTTAAAAGTCCACTGTGTTGCCTGAATCTAGGAGTAAAATGATAATTCCTTATAATATGACTCCATTAGTGAAGGTATTGCATTGATCTGAAATTAGTTGTTTGAACCAATTAAGACTAAATTCATTCCAAGAGATGCTGTAAATCAATCAATTCAGTACTTCAATGAACCTGCTGAATATTCCTAAGCAGAAATAGATTTGCTTGATTAATCTCTAGATAAATCAATTTAGTAGCATCATTAAGAAAACTATGATCCTTTACAACCTGTTTAAATGCCTTAATAGCCAGATATTATATCATACCCGTAGTTATTTGTTGAGCCTCCTATCTTAATTCCATACTTTATGGATTATATCAATTGGGATTTGAATAAAATGAAGAGCATAGTCAGAACTGAAGAAGATGAGACAACTAGGTATATGAACTTTTATAGATACTTTAAGTTCATAACAACAAAAATTTAGCATAAATATTACACAGCTAAAGGTTTAATCAAGTTGTTAATTGAAAAATATTAAATAGTGCAACGTTTGAATGAACTATAGATGGATTTAAAATACCATTTAGACAATTAGGTAGGAGATTTGGCCCATTAAAGTCTTGAGTAACTCAAGAAGCATGAATGGGTTCAATAGGAGATAGATTTTGAAAAATTAAGACAAAAAATATATTAAATTCGCAGAGAAAGCTTTGAAATATTAATGCTAACAGAACATGTTGAGGATTGCGTATTATAAGAAACATCTTTTACAGATTAATTAAACTAATTAAGGGCAGAATTGGATCATTCTTATGACTTATTTGAAGAATAAATACTAATTTACATCTTTCATGATGTAGCTGGAGTGGAAGTTTGCATGAACTACTTAATTGATGATATAATGAATGAAGAGATTGAGGAATTGAAATTTTTTATTTCTATCCCAAACTTCATCAAAGATTTGGATAATTTTGGAGTAGAATTAAGACATTTAGTTAAACATTTGAGATTGATCATCAAATCTTTGACAGATAAAACTAATTAAAATCTAATAGATTTGAATAAAGCACATAGATCTTTGGAGATAGAAGTTAAAAAGATAATTGAACTCTTTAATGAGATTCCAGCTATGGTTACAAAGATGTAACTTAGCATTAATTAAGCAAGAATTATATTGTAAAAGATCAAACTTCCCCATAATAATTATAGAGCAGAAAACCAAGATATCTATGATGAATATTTGAAATTGTAGGAGGAAAATACAAAACTTGAATAGTTAATTTAAAGACGTATCAATAAAGCTGCAATCATTAGTCAAGTATGTGAAGAATAGAAGAATATTTTACAATTTGAAATAACATAACTAAAAGAGGACAATAAGAATGTGATTGAACTTTATCAGTTATTATAAGGAATACAAGAGAAGGAATTCTAATTGTCTAAAATTTAATCATAAAGATCAGAGATATGGTATTAAATGAAATAGGTGAAATCAGAAGAAATTTAATAATTAAATCATATTGAGTTGAAGTAATTGGAATAGAAATGCATTAATATCATAGAGTAGATCACATCATATTTTGGTTAGAATAGAATGCCTCATTAATTTATAAGATTGAAATTATGGGCGGAATCGGAATTGATGGCTTTAAAAATAAAGTTTGATGTTCCGAAGGTTAACCTTAATACTTTGGATTCTTCTCTAAAATAAAGAATAGAGAAACTAGTAAAATGGGAATATAGTGATGAATAAAATGAGGAACAGAATGTTTCATAATATATATAATACTTCCACAATTTAAATCAGGATATCAGTGTATAGTAGCCTGACATTGAAATAGAGTTGGATAACTAATTTGAATTGCTTCAAGACGATGAGGAATTACTTTAGTTGAATGAGACGTATACAATTTGGAAGAATATGTAGACAGCTGCAATTTATTTAAATGACGATTATTTGTAAGGTCTGCTTTCGTCGCATGACTAAGATCGTCTGGTAAAGTTCAGGAAGAATGTGTCTCATTTGTATATATTCTTTAAGCTAATGAAACAGGATTAATATGTGGGGTATGTTGATGAAGTTGAATAATTGGCAGAACTGTTAATTCAAGGAAGAAAGTTGGATGCAAAATCTTTTATAAAGTCCTCTAGGTTTATTCCAAAAAATTACAGAGAGAATTTGCTAAGTGCATTTTGAAATATTCAATGAATGACTTGATTTTTAATTAATTATTTTATGAATTTCAGATAAGATCAAATTGATTATAAGGATCTGGTGCGAAGGAGAGAGGAGAAACGCCTGGTCATTGGAAAGAAGAAGAATCAATTTGCTACAAGTATCAAGCTTATTTACAACGTAGATTCACTTTCAAATAATGAAGAGGTGTACAAACAGTTATATCGCTTTGATCCAGAGGTAATGAAGTTTTCAATTAAATTAGAGAGAATTATAAGAATACAGTCTAGCTAAGAATGAGGAATAGCCTATTTAGCAGGCTGGACCCATTGAATAATCGCAAGAGGAGCCAATCGAAGAGGAAGAGCAAGTATTGATTAGAATAATAAAACTAGGCTCAGCCAGACAATGTTACATATACAGCTATGGTGAAGGGATTATTTAAAGAGAAGGTCCAAGTGTCTAAAATACAAAAAGCCAATTACATAGATGCTACTGTCTTTCATTAATATTAGAAATTAATTTAAACTGGGGAAGACGCCATTAAATTTTTTGCTAAGTATGGAAACACTACTCCAATTAAATTTATTAATTGTGTGAGCAAAGCTGGATTTATTGAACTCTAATGTGAAGCTTACAATAAGAAAGACAAATTAAGGCGTCAAAATAATACTGACGGCGCTGAACTTGAGTTGCCTATGGAGTTCAATAAAAGTAAAGAACCCTTCCGACCTTATGATCTGATTGTTGTAAAAACAAGGGAAAATCAGAAGGAATAAACATTAAGAGAATACTATACTATATCTGCCCATGGAATTGTCCATGTTTATACTGATAAAGGAAAGAAGAGAATGTAAGGGGATTCTAGCACTGAAGTCATCTCGCTTTCTGATTGGATGCATGAAAGTACTATGTTCAATATTATCACCAATATTTAATTTTTCAAAAATTATGCCATAAGTAAATTACTTTATATATAATTCTAGCCAAAATCTTTAATATTTGGAAATCCAATGTCAGATACAATCTATTTAGTAAGACCAGAAAAAAGTTGATACATGAATCTTTTGTAGCTAAACCAGCCTTTGCTCAGCACTTGATGGATATCAATCAAATGATGTATGAATTACAACTGCAGAAAACTCTAAGTAACAGTATTCAATAAGCCAATAAAACTTGGGAAGCTGATGATTTCTTCAAAGGAGATTAAAAGAAAGCCAGATCAGATGCCTCTAAGCATTATGATTCTGTGATTGATAAGGTGTTATAAAAATTAGATACTGTTTGTAAAGAAGTTATTGATAGGACAAACTAAAACAATTAGTAAGAAAATGAAGAAGCCAGATTTGGATAATAAGTCAAATAGAAACCTATGAATGAGGAGAGAAAAGAAAAAGAGGAAAATGCCTTACTTTTATAATTGGCAGAAAAAGACAAAGGCAGATTACATTTGTTCATTAAATTGGTGGATTACATGACAGTTGAAACTCTAGTTTCTATTAATTAAACTTCTATGAGCATGTTATTGGAGGAAATGAAAAAAGAACGTAAAAATGGATTGTTCAATACAGCAGTGAATTTTGATGTTTAAATATTCACACCTGACGAAAAAGAAATCTCAGAACATCTGAAATGCTTATTAGATGACATGATTGTGGTTATGAGAAATACTGCTAGAGTGATATCTCATTAAAGTATGATTGGATACATAAAGAACACTAAATTAGGAGAATTGTTATCTGAACAAAAAGAAAATAAAGATTGCATAGCTGATGTCCAAGGCATCATTACTGATAGCATTGAATATTAAAATATCAAAAATGAAATATTTGAAAAAGTAACTAGTGATTTTCTAGCCGCAGAAGTCTATGTAAATACAAATTACATGAAATGTAAACCAATTTATGAATTTTTAAATACATGGAATTAAGGAGAATTTGAAAAAGAAGAACATACACTTGATATCATCAAATCTCATGTTATAGAACTTAAAAAATGGTTGTAGGATATCAATTTTTATATTAAGGATATCGCTAAAGGAATTCTTAATGTAGATGGCAAGAAAATTAAAAACAAACTTTAACCATAAGTTATTACCAAATTAGAGAATTTTAAAGACTACCTATATAAATTGATGTAAAAGAAAGCCAACCAAACTTTAACCACCTTATAGACATACACATCAAATCTATCTAAGAATCCCTAAAATCTTAAAGAATATGCTGAATTTATAGAAGCAATTTAAGAAGCTGAATAAAATATCAAAGGACTAGAAATAGCAAAAATAGAAGTTGAAGCTATGCATTCTTTGTTAAAATCTAAATTTGACTTGAATCCTTTGAAAAACTCTGATATTGTAATGATGGATGACATTCAGGCTGAATATTTAAGATTGACTTTGAAAATTAAAGAAGCTGAAGAATTGTGTAAAGAAAGAAAATAAGAAATGATGAAAAAGCATGAAGCTGAATTTGCCAAATTCATTACTAATATTCAAAATACAACTTCATCAGTTAATAAGGGAAAATTAATATTAGAAGATACTTAACCTGCAGATGCATTACAATAATTAAATGAAATTAAACTCAGATCTTTGGATAGATTCAAAGAGATGGATAAGAACTATTAGCATTATGCCAAATTAATGGGGTTGAGTGTTTCAACAAATAGAGATTTATAAGAGTTAGAAGCTACTTATAATGATAGAAGGATGCTTTGGACTCATTCTGATAAATTCAACAAATTGTATGAGGATTTGTAAAAAAATATATTTACCACCTTGAATGTTGAAGAAATAGAAAAAGAAATGAAGAGCTATGAAATTGGAATATTGAAGTTAAGATAAAACATTAATAATCTATCAAAAGAAGGAAGAGATAAAGTATTAGATCAACATGCTACTAGAGTCAGTAGTGTTTCAAATATTATGCCTGTTATATAAGCATTAGGAAATAAAGATCTAAGACCAAGACATTGGAAAAAAATATTTGAAGATTTAGGATCTTCTTGGCAACCAGGAAAAACATTTACACTCTAAGAGTTGTTAGCAGATGGTGTTATGAATAAAAGAGAGAAGATAGAAGAAATATCAGCCAAGGCATCAGGTGAAGCTAGTATTGAAGCACAAATTGAAGATATTAAATCAAAATGGTCATAATTATCATTCATAGTCAATCATTATAGAGAAGCTAAAGATAAATTTATTATTGGTTCATTAGATGATATTATTGCAGCATTAGATGATCATTAATTAAAAGTTTAAACTATGTTGGGAACTAGATTTGTTGCTGAAATTAGACCAGTTGTTGAGGAATGGGAAAGAAAGTTAGTTCTCATATCAGATATAATTGATGAATGGTTATCTTGTCAAAGATAATGGATGTATTTAGAAAACATTTTCAGTGCAGATGATATCTAAAAATAGTTACCTTAAGAAACAACTAAATTTATGGGAGTTGATAAATTCTGGAGAGACATTATGATGAAAACATTTAAAAGACCTTTAGTATAAGATTGTTGTAATTCTGAAGAATTGTTAAAGAAGTTTTAGATTAATAATAAGATTTTGGAAGACATTTAAAAGAGTTTAGATAATTATCTAGAAACAAAGAGATAAGCATTTCCAAGATTTTACTTTCTGTCAAATGATGAATTATTGGAAATTTTATCATAAACTCGTAATCCTCATGCAGTTTAAGCTCATTTAAGAAAGTGTTTTGATAACATAAATAGAATTAAATTCTCTGATATTGAAGACTCAACTGAAATTATTGCCATGTAATCAGCAGAACCAGAGACAATGCCTGAATTGGTTCCATTTTCAACAATAGTTATGGCTTAAGGTCCAGTAGAACACTGGCTATTGAGAATTCAAAATATGATGGTTAAATCATTATATGATATTACTAAGAAGGCATATTTGGCATATCCATAAAAGGAATTAGAGAGAGATGAGTGGTTATTCGAATATCCAGCATAGCCAGTTTTGACTGTAGATTTGATAAAATGGACAGAAGGATGTACGACAGCAATTGAGAGAATGGGCATGGGTAGAAAAACATCATTGTCATAATATTACGATTTTATGGTCTAATTATTAAATAAGGAAGTGTCAATTGTGAGAGGAGATCTGAATACTCTTCAAAGAACATTAATGGGTGCTTTGATTGTGTTGGATGTACATGCTAGAGATGTTGTTGCAACTATGGTTGATAAGAATGTAGCATCTTTAAATGATTTTGAATGGGCCAAACAATTGAGATATTATTGGGAAGCAGACGTCGATAATTGTGTAGTCAGATAAACCAATACGAGATTTATTTATGGTTATGAATACTTGGGAAATGGACCAAGATTAGTTATTACTCCACTTACTGATAAATGTTATATGACATTGACAGGAGCATTGCATTTAAATTTTGGAGGAGCTCCAGCAGGACCAGCTGGTACTGGTAAAACTGAAACAACTAAGGATTTGGCTAAAGCATTAGCTGTTCAATGTGTGGTGTTTAATTGTTCTGATGGTTTGGATTTCAAAACCATGGGTAGATTCTTTTCAGGATTAGCATAATGTGGAGCTTGGGCATGTTTCGATGAGTTTAATCGTATAGACATTGAAGTCTTGTCAGTCATAGCCTAATAAATATTAACCATATAACAGGCTATTAGATAGAAGGTAGATCAATTTGATTTTGAATCTCGTACAATTCCTCTGAATAGAAGATTTGGAGTATTTATTACAATGAATCCAGGATATGCAGGTAGAACTGAATTACCAGACAATCTTAAAGCCTTGTTCAGACCAGTGGCTATGATGATTCCTGATTATGCTATGATTGCAGAAATCATTCTATTTTCAGAAGGATTTGAAGGTGGTAGAATATTAGCTCGTAAGATGGTTAATTTATATTCATTATCATCTGAACAATTAAGTAAGCAGGATCACTATGATTTTGGTATGAGAGCAGTCAAATCAGTGTTGGTTATGGCAGGTGCCTTACGTAGAAAGAATGCAAATAAGCCTGAAAATGAAGTGCTTATCAAAGCAATGAAGGATAGCAATGTTCCAAAGTTTCTTGAACATGATCTACCATTATTCAATGGAATTATCAAAGATCTATTCCCAGAAGTGGATATGAAAGAAGAAATAGATAAATAATTAGTTGATGCTATTACAAATTAACTCAAATTAATTCATTATGATGATCCAGCTGCTTTTAAAAAGAAAATCTGCTAATTGATGGAAACCATACAAGTGAGACACGGAGTCATGGTTGTTGGTCTAACTGGTACTGGTAAAACTACATTAATACATACTCTTGCAAGAGCTATGGAATAGTTAAATAAAGAAGGATCTTAAGATTATTATCATAAAGTTGTGTAAAAGCAAACATTGAATCCAAAATCAGTTACTATGAATGAATTGTTTGGTTATACTAATGTGTTAACAAATGAATGGACAGATGGTATTGTTGCTAGTATAGTAAGAACTGCAGTTACAGATACAACTGATCAGAAGAAGTGGATCATTTTTGATGGTCCAGTGGATGCACTTTGGATTGAAAATATGAATACAGTGTTGGATGATAATAAAATGTTATGTTTAAACAATGGTCAGAGAATTAAGTTGCCTGCCACATTCACTATGATGTTTGAAGTTTAAGATTTGGCAGTGGCATCTCCAGCTACCGTAAGTAGATGTGGTATGGTTTATATGGAACCACATCATCTAGGATGGGAACCATTAGTAAAGACTTGGGGAGTGTAAATGAGAGAATAGTATATGAAAGATGATAAGGTTCCAACCTATGTGGATACTCTAATTGATAAGATTGAGCATTTCTTTAAAGATAATTTGAAAGTTGTGAGAGAAGAATTCAAAGAGAAAATTCCAACTACTGTTAACAATATTTTGAAATCACTACTTAATTTGGCTTAAATTAATTTGAAATCATTGACTGAAACGGTTAATCTAGAGAAGATGAACAAATTTGACATGGAATCTCATATTGCTATGGTATTGATTTTCAGTTACATCTGGAGTGCTGGAGCAAATCTACATGATTCCAGTAGATCTTAATTTAGTTAATATTTGAAAGGAAAGATCATTTCATTATTTAGTGGATTCCCATTTGAAGGAGATGTCTACGATTACTATTGTGATTACAAGAGCAAGGAATTCAAACCTTGGACTGATAAAATTTAAGAATTTAAATATAATTCAAGCATACCTTATTTCAATATCTTAGTACCAACAAGTGACACAGTCAAATTCAAGTATTTGATCACTCAATTAATTGAGGGAGGATTCAATATTCTTCTATCTGGAGAAACTGGTACTGGAAAGACCGTTATTATAAATGAATACTTGTATAGTTTAGAATAAGAAAGGTTTGTGTTCTCTACACTGAACTTCTCTGCATAAACTAGTGCCAAGAACTTATAGGATCTATTTATGGATAAGGATAAGTTTATGAAAAAGAAGAAAGATCTGTTAGGTCCACCAGCTGGTCGTAAAATGATTCTCTTTATTGATGATGTAAATATGCCTGCATTGGAAAAGTATGGTGCTTAACCACCAAATGAATTGTTTAGATAAATCATCGATCAAGGTGGATTCTATGATCTCAAGAAATTGTATTTCATGTATGTTAAGGATTGTCAATTCATTACAGCTTGTGCTCCTCCAGGAGGTGGACGTAACCCTGTTACTCCTCGTTTATTCAGGCATTTCAATCAAACCTGGTGTCCAGATCTCTCTTAAAGATCTATGGAAGTCATCTTCACTGCTATTCTTAAAGGATTTCTTATGGAATAAAATAAAGGATTGGATAAATTTGCATCTTACATCGTCAAATCAAGTGTAGAAATCTATTTTAAAATTACCAAGGAATTGTTACCTACTCCAACCAAATCTCATTATACTTTCAACTTGAGAGATCTCAGCAAAGTTATCTAAGGAATATTATAAGTTAGATATGAAAACTTAACAAATAAGGAAATGCTCATTTAATTGTGGGCACATGAATCACAAAGAGTATTTTAAGATAGATTGGTTGATGATAAAGACAGAGATTGGTTTTTGACTCTTCTAATGGGACACACTCAGAGAGTCTTTGAATTTGAATGGGAAAAACCTCAAGTTTAGAATCTACTCTTTGGTGATTATAGCAATGCTAATAAGGATTATATTAGAATTGATAATCCATAAGAATTGCCACGTAAATTCTAAGACTTCTTAAATATGTATAATGCATCTCAAAAGCAAATGAATCTTGTATTTTTCACTGATGCCATCATGCATCTTAGTAGATTATGCAGAATTCTGAGATAACCAAGAGGTAATGCACTTTTGATTGGTGTTGGTGGTTCAGGAAGACAATCACTAACCAAATTATCTGCCTAAACAAGAGGGTAAACTGTATTTAGCATTGAAATTACCAAGAATTATAGAGAGTAATCATGGAAAGATGATCTCAAGAGGTTATTGAAAACAGCAGGAGCTAAGGACTAACCTGTAGTGTTCTTGTTCTCTGATACTTAAGTTGTTAGAGAATCATTTTTAGAGGACATTAATAATGTTCTTAATACAGGTGAAGTGCCTAATTTATGGGCGACAGAAGACATTGAAGAAATTATCAATGATGTCAGACCATTGGCAAAGGAATAGGGATTATATGATTCAAGGGATGTTTTGCTTAAATTCTTTGTAAGTAGAGTAAGAGAGAATTTGCATATCGTCTTAGCATTCTCACCTGTTGGAGAAAAGTTGAGAAACAGATGCAGATAATTCCCTTCCATTATTAATTGTTGTACCATTGATTGGTTTGATAAATGGCCAGATGAGGCTCTTAATAGTGTTGCAATGAAAGATTTGGGAGGTTAGGAACATTTGGGTATTGGGGATTTTGTTGACAGCTTGGCTAGCATGTCTGTCATCATCCATTCAGATGTGAAAACATATAGTGAAAGATTTTATGATGAATTGAGAAGAAAGAACTACGTTACTCCTACTAGTTATTTGGAATTATTGAAATTATACATTGACATGATGAAGGTGTAATCAAATATATTACCTTAAAAAATCAAGAAATACACTGTTGGTTTATAAACTCTGAAAGACACTAATGAGGAAGTTGGAAAATTGCAAAAGAAAATCATTGAGTTTTAACCTATTCTTGAATAAAGTGCAAAAGACAATGCTAAAATGATGGTTGAATTAGAAGGCAAATCAAAAGAAGCCAATGTCACTGAATAAATTGTTTCAAAAGAAGCAGCAGAAGCATAGAAGAAGAAAGATGAAGTTAATGAAATGAGAAATTCCTGCTAGGCCGAACTAGATCAAGCGTTACCAATCTTGGAATAGGCTTAAAAAGCTGTTTAAAGTATTGATAAAGCAGCTATCAATGAAATGAAAGCCTTAAAGACTCCCCCAAATCTAGTGTAAATTGTCATGTGTGCAGTCAACTTGCTCTTTGATGAAAAGGAAGACTGGCCAACAGCTTAAAAAGTTCTTGGTCGTATGACCTTTATTCAAGAAATGCTTGAATTTGATGTGACAAAGGTTCAAGAAAGAAGGTTACAGAAATTGAAGTAAACTTATCTTAGCAATCCTGATTTCACTAAAGAAAAGATTATGAATGTGTCATAAGCAGCTACAACCTTATTGGTATGGGTGGTTGCAACTGAAAAGTTTGCATAGGTTAAAAAGGTTGTTGGTCCTAAGGAGAAGGCATTAAAAGAAGCTGAAGCATCCTTAAAGAAGGTTGAATAAGAATTGGCAGTAAAGATGGGATAATTGAAGGAAGTGTAAGACATGGTTAATGAACTCAAGAGAAATCTTTAGACTTCTATCAACAAATCAGAAATGCTGAAATAACAATAATAGACAGCTGAGATCTAATTAGTAAGAGCAGAGAAGTTAGTTTCAGGATTAGCTAGTGAAGCTGAGAGATGGAAAGTCAATGCAGCACTATTAGAAGAGGATTTAAGGAATCTAGTTGGAAATATTATGTTGGCTGCTGGTTCAATAGCCTATCTGGGACCATTTACTTATAATTATAGATCTGAAATTATAGCCAAATGGATCAACAATTGTAAAGAGTTGAGTATTCCTGTGAGTGATAATTTCACTCTCTAAAGGATTTTAGCAGAAGAAGTAACCATCAGAGAATGGTAAGAAGCTGGATTGCCTGCAGATAATTTATCAATTGATAATGGAATCTTTGTTTTCAATTGCAGAAGATGGCCCTTAATTATAGACCCTCAAGGTTAGGCTAATAAGTGGATCAAAGCACTAGGAAAGGAAACCAATTTACAAATTACAAAATTGAGTGAAAGTAATTTCCTAAAGACTCTTGAAAACTCGATTCGTTTTGGATAATAAGTTTTAATGGAAAATGTTGAGGAGGAACTTGATCCATCTTTAGAACCTATATTATAAAAACAAATCTTCAAAAAAGGAGCTCAATATCTCTTACGTCTAGGTGACTAGGATATTCCATACAACAATGAATTCAAATTATATTTTACTACCAAACTACCAAATCCTCATTACATACCTGAAATCAGTATTAAAACTACTATCATTAACTTTNTGAGTTTTAACCTATTCTTGAACAAAGTGCAAAGGACAATGCCAAAATGATGGTTGAATTAGAAGGCAAATCAAAAGAAGCTAATGTCACTGAGTAGATTGTATCAAAAGAGGCAGCTGAGGCATAGAAGAAAAAGGACGAAGTTAATGAAATGAGAGATTCCTGCCAAGCTGAATTAGATTAAGCATTGCCTATCTTAGAATAAGCATAAAAGGCAGTTCAGAGCATTGATAAAGCAGCTATCAATGAAATGAAGGCCTTAAAGACTCCACCAAATCTAGTGTAAATTGTCATGTGTGCAGTCAACCTACTCTTCGGAGAAAAAGAAGACTGGCCAACTGCTTAAAAACTTCTCGGTCGTATGACATTTATTTAAGATCTACTTGATTTTGATGTAACAACAGTCCAAGAAAGAAGGCTACAGAAATTGAAGTAAACTTATCTAAGCAATCCTGATTTCACTAAAGAAAAGATTTTGAATGTGTCACAAGCAGCTACAACTTTGTTAGTATGGGTAGTTGCAACTGAAAAATTTGCTTAAGTTAAAAAAGTAGTTGGGCCTAAAGAGAAGGCATTAAAAGAAGCTGAAGCATCTTTGAAGAAAGTGGAATAAGAATTGTCAGTAAAGATGGGATAGTTGAAGGAAGTGTAAGATATGGTTAATGAACTCAAGAGAAACCTTTAGACTTCTATTAATAAATCAGAAATGTTGAGATAGCAATAATAGACAGCTGAGATCTAATTGGTAAGAGCAGAGAAGTTAGTTTCAGGATTAGCTAGTGAGGCTGAGAGATGGAAAGTCAATGCAGCACTGTTAGAAGAAGATTTAAGGAATCTAGTTGGAAACATTATATTGGCAGCTGGATCAATAGCATATCTTGGGCCATTTACTTACAATTATAGATCTGAAATCATAGCCAAATGGATCAACAATTGTAAGGAGTTGAGTATTCCTGTCAGTGACAATTTCACTCTCTAAAGAATTTTAGCAGAAGAAGTAACCATTAGAGAATGGCAAGAAGCTGGATTACCTGCAGACAATTTATCAATTGACAATGGAATCTTTGTTTTCAATTGCAGAAGATGGCCCTTAATTATAGACCCCTAAGGCTAAGCTAATAAATGGATCAAAGCACTAGGAAAGGAAACCAATTTACAAATTACAAAATTGAGTGAAAGTAATTTCTTAAAGACTCTTGAAAACTCGATTCGTTTTGGATAATAAGTTTTAATGGAAAATGTTGAAGAAGAACTTGATCCATCTTTAGAACCTATATTATAAAAACAAATCTTCAAAAAAGGAGCTCAATATCTCTTACGTCTAGGTGACTAGGATATTCCTTACAACAATGAATTCAAATTATATTTTACTACCAAACTACCAAATCCTCATTACATACCTGAAATCAGTATTAAAACTACTATCATTAATTTTACAGTCACACCATAAGGTTTAGAAGACTAATTATTGGTTGAAGTGGTGCGATAAGAAAGAATTGATTTGGAAGAAAAAAGAGTTAATTTGATTCTTTAAATATCCTAAGATAAGAGATAATTACAAGAATTGGAAGATAAGATATTGAAGTTGATATCTGAGGCATAGGGTAGAATATTGGAAGAGGAAGATTTGATTACAACCTTGGATGCTTCTAAAATTACATCTGATACAGTCAATTAACGTATGGCTTAGTCTAAGATTACAGCTGAGGAAATTAATTAAGCAAGAGAACAATATCGTATTATTGCTAGAAGAGGATCAGTCATTTACTTTGTTATTGCAGATCTTGCTTTGATTGACCCTATGTATCAATATTCCCTAGAGTTCTTTATTAAATTATTTAAAAAGAGACTAGAAGTAGCACCCAATCCTCCATCTTTAGAAGAAAGATTAGCAGTACTGATTGACGATATTACTAAAGCATTTTATATCAATATTTGCAGAGGATTGTTTGAGAAGGATAAATTGTTGTTTAGTTTTTTGATTGCTAGTAAAATCTAATTGTAGGCTCAATACATACATGCTAGAGAATGGAATATCTTTTTAAGAGGAGGCACTGGCACAGTACCTAATGAAGAACATCCTTCATTCTTAAATGAGAAATCATGGAAGAACTGTATGATGATAAGTAAACAATCTCATGTCTTTGCTTAATTGCCAATGTCCTTAAAAGATAGTAATGATGAATAATTGTGGAGAGAAGTTATGGATGTTCAAGACCCATGGAAATGTGATTTACCTCTTGTTTTCCGTTCATTAGATCCATTTTAGAAGTTATTACTATTCAAAACACTTAGAGATGAAAAATTGGTTATCTTAATTAAAAATTATGTGTCTGACACCTTAACATCATTCTTTATTGAACCACCCGTTTTCAATTTGAAAGGTGCATTTTAAGATTCATCTTGTACTACTCCAATTATATTCGTATTATCTCCAGGTGCTGATCCAATTACATATTTGTTGAACTTGGCTAAAGATATGGAAATGGAAACTAAATTAAAAATCATCTCATTAGGTTAAGGATAAGGTAACATTGCAAAGGAATTGATTAAAACAGGTAGAAGAACAGGGGATTGGGTATGTTTGTAGAATTGTCACTTGGCTATTACATGGATGCCAGAATTAGAGAGAATTCAAGAATTGTAAGTAGAAGCAGACACTGATGCCAACTATAGGTTATGGTTAACCAGTATGCCTACAGATAAATTCCCTGTTCCAGTATTATAGAGTGGTATCAAATTAACAAACGAGCCACCCAAAGGATTAAAAGCCAATATGATGAGAACCTATAATGATCTATCTGGATATGATTCTTGCACTAAGCAAGATGAATATAAGAAACTCTTATTCTCCTTGGCTTTCTTCCATGCTGTTATTTTGGAAAGGAGAAAGTTTGGACCCATAGGTTGGAATATTCCATATGAATGGATGAATTCAGATTTTGAAACTTGTTAATTATAATTGAAGATGTACTTGGATGAATAACCAGAAGTACCATATCAAACACTCAATTATATCATTTCAGAAATCAATTATGGTGGTAGAGTTACAGATGATAAGGATGTTAGATTGATTACTGATCTACTCAAATAATATTTCTGTCCAGCTGTTCTGAATGATTCAAACTATATATTCTCATCAAGTGGTGTTTATCATCCTCCTTAGATTGTAGATTTGCAATCAGTTATTCAATATATAAGTTCATTGCCTTTAGAAGATGATCCAGAAGTGTTTGGTTTACACACCAATGCTAACATTACTTTCTAATAAAAAACAGTGGCTGAATTTATGAGTACTCTTCTATCAGTGCAACCAAGGATGGTAGCAGAAAAGGGAGTAGAAGAAACTCCTGATTAAATTGTGTTTAAAGTAGCCAAAGAAATACTGGGAAAACTGCCTCCACTTTTAGTTTAGAAGAAAGAAGTGGCCATTGAATCATTAGCTATTTTTAGATCATAAGAAGTCGACCGTTTCATTAAATTAGTTCGAGTTATGAGAAATTCATTGGAATTATTATAGAAGGCCATTCAAGGATTAGTTGTTATGTCAATAGAATTAGAAAAAATGTTCAATTCCTTCTTGGATGCTAAGGTTCCTGAAAATTGGGAGAATGTAGCCTATCCATCTCTAAAACCCTTAGGTTCCTGGGTTACAGATCTCAACTAAAGATTGGTATTTATCAATATATAATATTCTTAGGATTTCTTCAAATAATGGCTCGAAAATGGAACCATGAAATCTTACTGGTTGTCAGCTATGTTCTTCCCTCAGGGTTTCATGACTGCCACTAAATAGACATATGCTCGTAAGACCAAGACTCCTATTGATACTTTGACATTCAGAACTTAAGTTAGACCTTTCTACAAGGATAATATTTAGGATGTTCCATAAGATGGTATTTAATGATCTCATACGTAGGTGTCAATATTGATGGTCTCTATCTACAAGGATGCAAATGGGATGTTGGAACTAATCAATTGGAGGAATCTGATCCTTTAGTTTTGTTCTAAGAAATGCCAGTTGTTTGGTAATATTTTACATTCTATTAGAATAGGCTTGAACCCGTAATAGCATCAACTTAGAATCAAAATTCTTAGAAATTCTACAAATGTCCTCTTTACAAGACTTCCACTAGAAGGGGAACACTATCAACAACAGGTCATTCAACTAACTTTGTGTTATATTTGGAATTAATTACTGGTGTGGAACCAGCTGTATGGACTAGACGTGGAGTTGCTCTATTATGTCAACTCGATGATTGATTTTCATTTATCAATAATTATAAAATTTAACTTAATAAGGTGTTATTGGTTATCTTGCATTCTTCTCTTGGAAATTTGATACTTAATTTGTATGTAAAACATAAATTTTATTTTTGTTTGTAAATGTCGAAGCTTAAATTACAAGTATATTCATTTAATCATTCTAGTTTTGCTCTGGTCCTTCGTTGTAGAGTTCTTTTGACAAAAATCAAATAATCTTACAAGGAAATTAGTAGGATCCCATTTCTTCATTGTAATAAGAAAACCTCATCAATTTGGGGAATACTGAATAAAAGCGAAGAAGTAATTATGCTGGAGATCGCTTCATTCCAACCATAAAAAAGAAATTTAGCATTCTTACTGAAACCAAGGCACCTGCTCAAGACATTGCTTCATCTTAAGCAGCTCTTGAAATGCTCTATAAATAATAAATTTTAAATTAGGATCCTATTATGGAATCTGAGAGTGGTTCACTTAAATTTATTAATCAAAATAACTTCCAATACAAGAATGAGCATGTGCATTATATCGATTCCATTGATCCGAAAAATTATAATAGGTATTAATTTAAATAAATTAGTCCTCTTGTTGATCATAAATACTTTGCATTACCAGAAACCATATCCAGCTAATATGGAAAATACATAAGAAAAATTCCCAAAGTGCCATTTAAAGTTTTAGATGCTCCTCAATTATAAGATGATTTCTATTTAAACCTGATAGATTGGAGCACCTATAACACATTATCAGTAGCACTCAATAACAGTGTTTATTTATGGTACTTTTTATCCAATCAAATTAGGAATGCTTAATCTTAAAAAGTTACGAAACTGCTAGATCTTTGTAATGATGTAGTAACGAGTGTTGGATGGTCATTAAGAGGCCCATTGTTAGGAGTTGGAACTAACAATGGAGAAGTCTAAATATGGGATGCTTGTAAGTTACAAAAAGTTAGAACGTTTAAAAGTCACACTGCAAGAGTTGGGACTCTTTGTTTTGCTGAAAGTATTTTAAGTAGTGGTTCAAGAGATAAATTAATAATCTAAAGAGATATAAGATAAAAAGAAGACTATTTTTTTAAATCTCTTGCTCATAAATAAGAAGTTTGCGGGTTAAAATGGTCTCCTGATAGCTAATTATTAGCTTCAGGTGGAAATGATAATAAATTATACATTTGGAGTTCAGCTTAATACGATAAACCAATATTTAAATTTAATGAACATCAAGCAGCTGTTAAAGCTATAGCCTGGAGTCCACATTAACATGGATTATTAGCAAGTGGTGGTGGTACTGCAGATAAAACCATTAGATTTTGGAATGCTTTAGAAGGCAGAATGTTATCAAAAGAAGATACTGGAAGTTAAGTCTGTAATTTAATGTTCAGCAAAATGGAAAATGAATTGATTTCAACACATGGTTATAGTCAACATTAAATTATACTTTGGAAATGCAATGGTATGAAAAGAATTGCCACTTTAATAGGTCATACTAGTCGGTATATATTTATTACAATTAAGTGTGTTATATTTGGCGATGTCTCCTGATGGTTATACCATAGTGACAGGAGCTGGAGATGAAACTTTGAGATTTTGGAGTATCTATACATAATCAATGGGCAATTAATAAAATAGCAAATGCTAATTAGCACCGCATAATATCAGTATTCGTTGATATAAAACTATTTTATACTCATTTTTGTTATTGATCATCTTTTTAAATATTTTGATAGAAATTGAAGAGTCAATAGATTTGGTTACTTTAATTTTATAGATATATATATATCATTAAAGCCATTGAATTTATAGTATTTACTATGCTGATGGTCTATCATTTGCATTAATTTGCAACATACTCTTCACAAGTTTAAAAAGCTCTACTTCGTATTTACTCCAATGTGCTTTTGCAAATGATATCTTAGCTGGTTGATTCTAGTTTTAAGGCATCAGATTTGGTGCATATGCCATGATCATTTGATGAATCACTATGCCAAAACACCATATATCCATTTTAGGATCTGCTTAGGAACCTATAGCTAATTCAGGTGGCATCATAGGTTATCTTTTTTTGATGAACTCATAATGAAAGGCATCTAGAATGTCACCCTTTCTTTAGATATTCCCAAAATCCCCAAGTTTGACCTCTATTTAATTATTTAGATACTGTTCTAATTAGATCCTCTGGTCCTCTCGTACATTGCAAAGTCTCTATTCGAATATCCATATGAACATAATCTCAAATATTTAGACAAATTACTTAAATTATGCAAATAATTGAGTCCTTCTGCTATATCTTATATATAAGATCTTAATTTAATCATATTTGTAATAGGACGAGCTTACTAAAAGTTTAAAAAAACAATTGTACTTCTAAGATTGCTTTCTTAAAGTAGTTTGCTTCATTTAAGAATTCCAATACTATTTTTTTCTCCTCATAGTTCTGCTCTTTAACCTAAATGCTAGATTATGCTTGTACTTTAACAATATTGGGGTGATCTAAAGTTGGATGTATCTCAAATTATTTGATGACTTAGGCTCTCCAAGTCGGATCTTACAAGGCTTCAATTTAGAGTTACTTTACAAACACCTATGCATTTTAAACAAATATTCTACTTTATTAAAATCCCAATCTAATGCAACTATGTTCTTGTTGAATTTCGATGGTTCAAATTCCTCTAGTTAACTGTAACTCTTTTTAGGAGGCATCCAGTTCTCATCATCTGAATCAATAATTTCACCAAAATTTTACGGAAGTTGGTGTTATTACTTTAATGAATCATCTGAATCACTCATCACAATTTTTATAATATATTAAAAAATAAGTGCGAAAATTTTGAATTCAAAACCCATCTGGCAACAAGTCAATCAGAGTCTTAATTCTTGTATGTATTCTTAAATCCTTATCATCTCTCCTTGTTTGAGATCCATTATTTTTTGCCTTCCTTTCAGATTTCAAAGCCTACATACTTTCCTATACTTTCTTCTCTAATAATTGCACTATCAAGGCATCTTTCTATTTAGCTTAGGATTTCAGTAAATGATTCTCATTCATCAAAGTTTTAAGAATTTAGGTTTAGAAAACTCTTTAAGAATCACTCCTAATAGCCATTTCAAAATGTTAATATTTTGTGATTTTATAAAAATTATCATTTTATTAGAAAATGCTTAAAATATCTCACTAATTTTCTTCTATAAAACTATTAAAAACCTAATATCCCTTTACATTTCTTAATAGAACTTGTATTCATTGACTCTATGAAGTATAAATAATAATTAGGATTAATATTATCAATATATCAAACAACATAAGGAATTAGTCACAGTATTCATATAAGTTAAATAAATGCATCCTTTGGCTTTGCTTAGTTTTGTAATTCCTATTGCTTGTATTTTTGCAAATTGACCTACTTCAAGATCTCTTTCCAATTTTTTATTAATTTTGTTCATATTTCATCAAGGAATATGACATTCTGAATTTATTAAGCATTTTTCCTTGTCAATTCTTGGATAATTTTGCATGGAAATGTTTGGACTAATGATTTACTAATTTACTATTTCTTATTATTATATATCTATATTTATTAAGTTTCTTAGCCCGCTATAATTAAATTTTTTTTTTATGTTGTAAGAAAATTAAAGGGAAAATGAGAAAAAGTAGTATTCAATGTTCTACCAGGAGGATGAAAGATCAAAGAGCCATTTCTTAAATTAACAATACCTCACTAATTTCTTTGAATTCACTAATCATTTCAAGGATGCTGATTTACAAAATTAAGGAAAATAGGAAGAAAAAAACCAACCTAAATTTCCCATAATTATATAATATGAACAAGAACCTAGATATGTAAATCAGAAATAGTAATTTAATATATTAATTCCTAGATATAGACGAATCATGATTCGAAGAATCAAAAGAGCTTAATAAGCATTAAAACTGGAGGAATTACGAAAATAATAAGCAACAAAGTTTTTGGATAAATCCAATTAGAAATATATATATGAATCAAGGCATTAACATGCACTAAAAAGAGAAAGAGGACCAGATGGAAAATTTTTAAAAAAGCAGAATTCTGCCGAGTCTCCACCAAAACTTTGAGTTCATTCTTTGTGTATTTGCTTTTTCTTTTGTTAATTATATATAAGAATCTCATAAAAAAGGAATATTTTCCCAACTTGAATTTATGTTTTTTAAATTAATTGAAAAGTACTATAACACTTAAAAAAAATAATAAATTTTTGTTTTTGTATCTTAAATTTTCTTCAATAGTTGGATAAATAGATTTTATTTCGAAATCTGCGAAATTGAATTGCTTCATTCTATACAGATTAATTGGTGTGTATCTATAACAGGTGAAATTGAGAACATTGATGAAATCAAATCTAAATTAAAAAAGAATTTCCCTCAGAAAAATGTCACAAATCTGCATATAAAGTATTCAACACAGCGAATCCTAAATAGAATAATCATTTCTAACAATTTGTAATGATCAGTAAATTCGATAATATATATTTGAAATTGAGTTTTATAATTTAAGTCTTGATAAATATGATATAAGAATAATCTATCATAATTTATATATCAAATAGATGATCAAAAATCATAATGATATCTAAATTCCAAATTTTTTAAGTTCGTCTATCTTTTTTTTTGCCTTGGCAGCTGTAAAATTATTTTAATTCACATATATGCTTTTCAATTATGTTTGACCATTTTATCTCAAATGAGTTAAAATATTATCAAGACATTTTTCTGTCAATATGTTTTGTTATAGATGTAATGTATTAATTCTATTAGTGTAAAAATAATAATTACTTGGTTTGAGTGATATTCAAAACCAACTTATAGAGCAGATCATCAGTCAATTTGCATTTACTTAATTTTAAGACCTTTACAGTTTGAGTTCCTTTTAAGTAATCTCCCAAGATTTGTATAATCTAGTCATTAAAATCTAGATAAAAATAAAAGTATTACCTATAGAACTTAGATCAATAATTTCACTTTTGTCTTAATGAATAATACTAAAAGTATTTGATAGTTTATCATTCATTTTTTGATTGTTCGTAAATTTCTTCTATGATTTTGAATTGCTATTTTAATTATTATTGCTAATTTTAGATTGTTTCTAAACAAGAATTTAAGAAACATCCAACAATTCGTGATGTGACAATGTCATACTTCTTTCTTTAAATTTTACTGCTTAATTTTGATTCGATGTAAAAATAGTTGATTTTGTCATATCTTGAGAAGGTGAAGTAGGTTGGGTAGGTTATTATGATTAAGAAAATACACCAGAATATCTTTTTCCTTTTGCTACATCTATTTACAATGGTTTATGCTATTCATATTGTTAGAATATTTCTTCTTACAATTGCCTATCATCTAATAAAAAGTCTGATTGATCAACCTTTTTTATAGGATCTTTCTCCTCTAGAATGGATTCTAGCGGTTGAATAAATTCCTATTTAATTACTTCTGATTTAGTTTTGTTCAATCCCATCATTTTGGTGATGTAATTTGTGATAATCTAAATAGGAACTTGGACATCTAGTTAATTGTAAGTTTATTCAATTTTGATTTTGATTTGCTCTTTAATTCTATCAAATTGGGATATCAAAATCTCACCTTATTTAACTATTTGATCATCAAATTTGAAGCTTTTCTATTCTTCGGAATCTTCCAATAATAGACTTAATTAGATATTAGCCTAATTTAGCCATTTATCGGCTTCAATCTATAAGGAAATGAATTCTGAATCAAGCTTATTAGATTGGTGTTCAATGGAATTTTAGTAATTAAGTTCAATTTTATGCAAAACTTGCGATTTAATGTCTCCAATTGATTTAATGAGATCATCAAATTATAATTCTATAAGAGATTTTAAACAATTTTATTATTAATTAAGTCCAAGAACCAGTAGTTGTTTAAATTATTCTTAACTATTTCTTTCATTCTGTATTTGTTTGTACACATTTGATATTTATTGAATAGCCAATTCTATCTATTTGAGATATTATTCGATGGGAAGATAATTATGAAATTTATGTGGACCAAATAATGCACAATTTACACAAATATACTAGCCATCCTCTTGACAGACTAATTCTAGTTCCTTTTAATGCAATTTGCATAGACTGGCTTTAGGCAATGCTTCCTGAGATTAAGAATGAGAAAGGCCCTTTTCACTTGAGAAATCACTAACATCCTTCGTTTAATTGTGAATCGATTGTTATTGTTCATCAGGAGTTTGAATGGTAGTTATACATCTAGCTGATGATCGACGTTTCTTTAGCAATGTAATAATGCTTTAATTATGGGGGAAACATTTGATATCTCTTTGGACATTGCATTATATTCTTAATAAATCTAATAGATGTGTACCCGTCTTCTTTGCAAACCAAGGATTACTCCCCAGATGTATATTAATTGACACAAGACAAACAAATGGAATGACCACAGCTTGGCAAGACAAGAGGCGAATGATCAGTCTGATTGAACTCTATCGAACATTAACAACACTAAAATTCCATTAATATTTTATATTTTTTAATGTACTATGATATAAAATTTTCATCTGTAACTCTTTTATCTTCTGGCTCTAGCACCCTTACCACCGAATTTTCTTGGCTCACATCTTCTTGGATCAGCAACCAAAAGTGTTCTATCATATTATAATAAGAGATCTTTGATTTCTCTCTTTTAAGTTTCATCAATGTATTTTTGATAGTAAGCAACGATACCTTTGCTGATGGCCTAAGTAATATTTAAGATTGCTAATTCTACCTATCTAATGGCATAAATTTAAGCAGTGCTTCCTCCACCTCTAACTGTGACTCTGATATCCAATCTGCCTGTTCTGACTTAACCAAGAAGTAATAATGGTTCGAGAGCCTTTTATCTCAATGGGGCTGGATTGACTAATTCAATTGGAGCTCCATTCACTCTAACCAAACCTTATTTTATTGTATTACAGTACCCTTTCCTTCTCTAACACTTGCACTTGCGACAGCATTCTTCTTTCTTCCAAAGGTTTGAACCAATTTTGATTTTATNATCTACAGGGAAATGAATTCTGAGTCTAGTTTATTGGACTAGTGTTCAAGAGAATTTTAATAATTAAGCTCTATCTTATGCAAAACTTATAATTTAATATCTCCGATTGATTTGATAAGGTCATCGAATTATAATTCTATAAGAGATTTTAAACAATTTTATTATTAATTAAGTCCAAGAATCAGTAATTGTTTAAACTACTCTTAACTATTTCTTTCAGTTTGTATTTGTTTGTAAACATTGGATATTTATTGAACTGCTGACTCTATTTATTTGAGATACTATTCGATGGGAAGATAATTATGAAATTTATGCGGACCAAATAATGCACAATTTACACATATATACTAACCATCTTCCTTACACACTAATTCTAGTTCCTTCTGATGCAATTTACAAAGACTAGCTTTAGGCAATGCTTCCATTGATTAAGATTAAGAAAGTCCTTTTTCACTTGAGAAATCGCTAACATCCTTGGTCTAATTGTGAATTGATTGTTGTTGTTCATCAGGAGTTTGAATGGTAGTTATACATCTAGCTGATGATCGACGTTTCTTTAATAATGTAATAATGCTTTAATTATGGGGGAAACATTTGATGTCTCTTTGGACATTGCATTATATTCTTAAATAAATCTAATAGATGTGTACCCGTCTTCTTTGCAAACCAAGGATTACTCCCCAGATGTATATTAATTGACACAAGACAAACAAATGGAATGACCACAGCTTGGCAAGACAAGAGGCGAATGATCAGTCTGATTGAACTCTATCGAACATTAACAACACTAAAATTCCATTAATATTTTATATTTTTTAATGTACTATGATATAAAATTTTCATCTGTAACTCTTTTATCTTCTGGCTCTAGCACCCTTACCACCGAATTTTCTTGGCTCACATCTTCTTGGATCAGCAACCAAAAGTGTTCTATCATATTATAATAAGAGATCTTTGATTTCTCTCTTTTAAGTTTCATCAATGTATTTTTGATAGTAAGCAACGATACCTTTGCTGATGGCCTAAGTAATATTTAAGATTGCTAATTCTACCTATCTAATGGCATAAATTTAAGCAGTGCTTCCTCCACCTCTAACTGTGACTCTGATATCCAATCTGCCTGTTCTGACTTAACCAAGAAGTAATAATGGTTCGAGAGCCTTTTATCTCAATGGGGCTGGATTGACTAATTCAATTGGAGCTCCATTCACTCTAACCAAACCTTATTTTATTGTATGACAGTACCCTTTCCTTCTCTAACACTTGCACTTGCGACAGCATTCTTCTTTCTTCCAAAGGTTTGAACCAATTTTGATTTTATTTGAGGAGTTGACATATCCAAGAATTAAATAATTTAATTTAATCAATTTTTCATTATTTATCAACCTATGCGAATTCCAATTAAAAGCAGCTTCAAGCACTTATCTGCTTATCTAATTAAAAAATACTACTCTAAATGCATTAATAAAGAGATTATTTTAAATAATATTTGAATTGATTCTAATAATTCAATATGGTCGTTGTTTTCTAAGTTCATCGAGCAGAGCACGGCCTTTAGCCTTTTCTAATTCTATTTTTTTATCATATTCCTCTTTCTATTTTCGAAGTGCCTCTTCCTCCTGTTATTTCTTATCTCTTAACAATTATTATCTCTGTTTTTTCTCATCCATTTAATTTATTAAATTGTGTTTTGTTTACATTATTTTCTAAACAATTTATTTTTGTATAATTTACTTCCTATTCTAGTCTCTGCTTTTCCTCTAATTCCTTTTGATACAATTCCATTTAACGTTGTAGTTCCATTTTATCCAAATGCTTAACGTTCTTTTCATCTTCAATTATCTTCTTTTTTATTTCCACATTCTCTGCTCTTTGAGCATAAACTTCATACATTAGTTTGACTCTTGCATCCTTACAATAAGAATAAAGATTACATCTTCAGCCTTCCATTTAGCTTCTTTGGTTTCCCATTGTCTATTGTTCTCCTCATTAATTAATTTTTCCTTTAATTGATCATTTACACTATATTCATTTGTTCTATTCTTAAAATTGAGCAAAAATTATCTGGTTTCTTCTTTCTATCTTTATTTCTCTGCTTATTCCATCTTACTAATGGCCTCTTCTCTTGCAAGAACTTAAGAAATCATTTCTTTATCTTCAATCTTCTCTTGCTGTTTAATTTGTTTTTTATATTCCTTTTATTTTTCATTATTTAATGCAATTTCTGAATTAATTTCCTTCTTATAGTTCATATATTGATTTTCTCTATGTTTATGTCTTTCCTCTTCTAGTTTCCATTCTTCTTTCTAAAATTGTAAACAATCAATCGTACCAGCATTTATTTTTCCTATTCAATTTCTTCCTTTGTTTTTTGTTGCTTAACTTCATTCATTTTTGTTTGTACAGCCAACACCTTGTTGCGCTCATCTACTTTTGCCTTTTGTTCCAACACCTTCTCCTTTTCTAACCTCTCCTTCTTTAGTATTTCTCTTCTATACAATTCTGCATATATCATTTCCTCTATAAAGATAATTCTTCAATTGTATACCCTCATATTGATCCTCCAACAGTTTCTATTTCTCCATCATTTACATATTTCTATATGCCACTGATTATAGTTCATTAAATTGCTAATTTACCTTTCTGAGTTCATCAGCATTTTCTCTGAATCTACGATCATATGCTGCATCTGCTTATCTAGCTCTTTCAGCCTCCTTCCTTTGTTTTAATTCAGCAACTTCTTTCATCATTCTCTCCTTGACCTATTCTGGAGTTTCAACCATAGCTTTTATCTCTTATTGATATTGCTCATGCTCTGCATTAAGTAAAAACGCGAGTTTTTCTCTCCTTTAATTCTTGTTGGCTTCAGCTTCTGCACGAATTTATTGAAGTCTAAGATAAACTACTACACAACCTATTCTTTGTATACTACCAATTGGCAATATCTTTTCCTTTATTTTCCCAGGCCGCAAACGTTTTCTCGTAATGTTCCTATCGAAGCTTTGTGTTCAGCTTGCCCACATACTGTTCCTGTTATCGTCTTTAGTATATTAATTGTTCAGAACGGTTACGAGTAGAATTTTATATCATATTTAAATTAATAATAATCATTAAGACAAGAATTATTCCCTCTGCTTAAGCAACTCATCTAATAAGGGTCTAACATATTTAGTTTTAATTCTGGCCTCACAAGAATAGAATTCATCCAATCTGACTTTGTATTTCTGTTCATAATCGAATGCTTAGAATAGCATTTCCAATTTATCCAATTCTCTAACCACTTCTGCTTCAATACTTTCGCCATTCTCATATTCTTTATGTATACTGTATAATTCATTTTTAATGTCTTCATCCAAATCCTATACCATCATTCTCATGGCATTATCCTCCTTCTATTTCTTCTCATTTGCTGGCATGTTTTCACTTGGAATTATGTCTCCGACAATCACTTCTGCTAGATCATGCAATAAAGCAATCTTAATGCATTTATCTTTATTTAACTCATTGGTAGGTAAAGATAAAGCGATCATTTAGATCATCCAACTGTGATCAGCAACGGATTCAACTTCTTTAATTGGTGGAAATCTAGTCCATCCTTTTCTCTTCACAAACTTGAGTTATTAAGCGATATTAAAGAATTTCACGTATTTTTACATTTGTTTTAATTAAAAATTAAAAAGTATAATTATAATTACTATTTAAATTAATGAATACAGACTTAGATCAGAAAACTATAGTATAAAAATATATTATTGTTATAGGATTAAATAGTTGACAAAAAGTTGGCTTTGATGGAAGCTGAGTACGAGATGTTCAAAAAATATGATAATCCAAATTACAAAGGAGCTGACTATCCTGTTGATCAAATTAATAATTTAAACAATGACAATCAATAATAAGAGAACTAAGGTGAAAAAGAAAAGGAGGAAAACTTGAATCTAGAGGAGGAAGATGAATTTTAAGAATATCAAGGATATGAAAAAATGGAAGAGAATTCCGATAAAGAAGAAGAAGATGAGATCAATTACGATCAAGTAGAGCATGTCGATCCTTTTGCCAAACCGTTAGATGTGGATTTGATTAAGAAATGCATGGCAGAAATCCACTTGCCCACTCCTGCTTGGGCTTAAAGTTTATAAGGATGGGAATAAAAATTGAGTTAAATGAAATCGCCATGATAAGTTTTTTAGAAAATAACAAAATTCAGTAACCAATAGTTGCTAATGTCACTAACAATGTAGCACATGTTTCAGCTTTATTTTCATCCAAATCTAGATTATCTAATATAGCCATTTTTATATGCTGCTTCCCCAAGTCTTCTTAATGGGAACACAGTTTTGCTAATTTATATAATTATTCAAAATGCTATCCTAACTTTGATATTAGTTTATCCTTCAAACTTTTTGAACCACTTTTGTATGCTCCTCTAGGTTCTGGTTAAGATTTTGAAGTATTTACATTTTGTATTTAATCTGAGTTGCTTTGCATCCATGTATTGATTTGGGTCTTAGGAGGTAAGGTATCAGCATTTTCTCTAAAATCCTCACTTGAATCCTCTGAATATATTCTAGAGCCTTCGGAATCATTTTATCCTTATAATGGAAGTTCCTCAACTTTTTTGGGTTGTTCTGACTAAGAAATAGAAAATATTAATTGTTACAAGCACATTTTTTAATTCATTGATCATCTCTTTCATGTCCTCCTCGCTATTTCTTTTTTAAACAATTTAAGCTTTTTTTTAAAATGGATCTTTGTATATGATTTTATAAATTTTTTTTTTATTTTTCTCTTCATCTGTTTTTGAACTTTATGGTTTATTAGGTTTAGTGGGTTTTTTCTAAGTGACATCAAACACTTAAAACTGAAATTGAGGTTGAAAGTCAAATGCTGCAGTTTCTACAGTTTGCTTATTATTTTAAATCTATTATTGTTCTTCTGAGGTTTAAAAGTCACTGATAGTAGTTTTATCTAGTAATTTTTATTCTGGAGTTTCTGATATTTTTTCTAATTGTTATTATTAACACTGTTCCTATCTCTACTGAGTTGTTGTTATTTCTTCAGAGATCTTCCTGTCTCTCTATTTCTTTATGAATTATTCTAATAGTTTTGGTTAGGCATGAACCCTATAAACAGGTTTCTTAGCCTCATCTTCAGACTTTTATCCTAATTTAATTTTTTATATCTAATCTAATTTAGATAATCCTTTAATATTTTTAATATGAGGCTTATCAAGGATATTCTAAAAGAACTTAGGACTTCCTTGTTCGCTGTTTTTGGTTACCTCCTCTAATACTTGATCAGAACCTTGAAAAGAGTCAGGACTTTCTTTTGTAATAAATCGAGAATTCTTATATTTATGTCCGATTCCTAAATCTGGGGTTGATGGTTATACACGTTGGCTAGGCAACTAATGCAATTATTAACGACTTGTTTGTTGTCTTGAAATTGGAGGTCTCTCAGGTTTAGGGAGTTTAATTTCTGGCAATTTCCTAAGATCGCTGTTCTTTCTTTGCTTTTATTGACCAATAGGAGGACTCTTGATGCCCGGTAATTATTGTTATATTTAGTTTCTACTCTTTGGAGTCTACTCGGTCTGATCTCCTTTTGGATCTTAATCATCTATTAATGGAATAGTAGTATCAGTTAATTGAATCTATTGATTGTGTAAAATGGTGTGATCAAACTCGGTTCTCTTCATGGTTTCAGATAGAAAGTTCTTAATTCTATTTGTGATTATCGGCATTTTTAATATCTGATGCACATCTGGTCTTTTTTCAGGATTCACTGTCAGAAGTTAATTCACAAGGCTATCTTTGTTTAATTATGAGTTTAGATTTACGTTCTTAGCTGCGAGGAATAGTTATTTGAAATGGCTTAGTACTGTCCTCGGACTATTTTCAATGCCAGTGATGCCAACGAATCTGCATTGAATGGAGGAGTCTTTGCACACATCTACGTTAATATTTCTCTTATTTACCTCGTATAATATCACTCCCAACGACCACACATCGCCTTTAAAACTATAAGGCTTGTTTTCTAGCAATTCCGGAGCCAAATAATATGGAGTACCAACCATTGTATGTGCTTTGTCACGAGTGTTGTCTAGCAATCTTGCAATACCAAAATCTCCCAATCTAATTCTCATATCCTTAGTAAGGAACATGTTTTGTGTTTTAATGTCTCTGTGAATGATTTTACGATCATGACAATGCTTGATTGCTAAACACATTTAAGTAAACCAATCCAAAATCCTGGATTCTGGGAAAAAGCCATCATGATTTTTTATGAGCTGAGCCAGATCACCTCCTATTATGAATCAATTAATTATTATTTATACCCTCAGCATAATCCATTACAATACATAATTTCCCTTTGACAGTTTTGTAAACTTCTCTAAAGTTGATGATGTTGGGATGCTTCAGTTAAGCCATGATTCTAAACTCTGAATAGGTTTCCTAAATGTTTTTAAATTCTCTTTACTTTTTTTTCCTCCTCGCTCAAATATCTCATATCTATTTGCTTAATTACACAAAGAGAGTGATCTTTCAAAGACTCACATTAGTAAGCCTTTCCAAACGATCCTTGTCCCAACAATCGAATCCTCTTGTAAAAATCTGATTCTTTAGGTCTCATTTAATAAATTAACTTAATATTATTAGCAAGAAGTTACACTAAAATTATATGTAGCAAACAAAAATGCTCATATACAACCAATATCTGTAATAATTGAATTGGTTAATTACTGTAAGCAAAAATTGTTAATATTATGAATTCATTATTTGTTTGATTGATTCTTTTACAATTTATTAATATGGATATATTTGAAATATTAGACAATAGAATATTTTTTAGTTGTGAAGTAATCAATCAAAGAGGAGAAGTTTATTATATAACAATTCTTCAATAGCATGTTACTTTAAGAAAATCAACAAAAAATTTTGAAGAATTGAATAAAATTTAATGAAAAATTGAAAAAATTAGACTTTGGAGAACAATAATTTCAAAAAATAGAAGTAAGAACAGATTAATGATCGTTTACCTCATACTAGATATGCCATAAGTTGGTGCTTTTATTTTTGGATGCGCAAAGCTTTTAGCCATAGTTATTTAAGCTAGCAATAATAGTATGAAAGGATGCTATTAATACTTCTTATTATATAGACCATAAATTTAATTATTTTTTAACATATAAAATTATCTCACACACCTCCTTTATTTTAGATAGCTCCATGCAATTCACATAGATAATCAGCATATGATTTTTCAAGTTGCTATTCATCCTCAACTAATTTTTATTATACCAAAGAAGCCTATGGAGAACTACCCATATATCATATATGAATACTTTTAGCGAACTACTCTTACAGGGACATAAGTTCCACCTCTGGTCTGCTATAGTGATTCAATGATATTTTAGACTTTGGTACTGTAATCAGTTTCGATTTTTGTAAACAATTCTATCGAGCTCAGTTCTGCAAAAGAATTCACTCCAAAAAGCTAATATTTGAAGATTAAATTACATTCTATAATAATTATTGATCTGCATTCTATCCTACGTAAATATATATAAATTGGCTTGTATCTAAAAGATAAATGCCATCTGATTTAATTTTATCAATTGTGGTTGCAACATTATGAGGCAAAACTGTCTTTTCATCATCAGTCAGAGTGCCAACATAATATTTATCAGCCACAAGTAAATTATTAATATCATGAATTGGGAATAGTTTTGGATAAAAGAAATTAGTCAGGAAATGCATCGATTGAGTCAACACTAAATGAATTTCAAAGATTCTATTATCTATCCTAACATTCCCATATTTTAGTAAATCGCGTTTTGCTAAAGTTTATAAATATAGAGGTAAGATTTTAATTGCTTCTGGCAAGATCAACTAGCCTGCAGGACTATTACTTGAACACTACATTAAAAATGAATAATACATATTTTCGATATGCATGTAAGATATTTACAACTGACTCGAATAGACTTTGTCTAATTTGCCTGATTTATTGAACCATAATGTTAGGTAGATTCTTTCTACTTAATAGAGTGGCTATGCAATCCACATCTCCAGTTTTGAATATGTTATGCCATGCATTGTTTCCACTGTTCTTATTAACAACTTATAACTGTAAATTAAACACTCTAATAACTCTCTGTCCTTATTGATTGGTAAACAATAATGCATATTAGATATAGGCTTCGGGATCCAATATCTTTTCCTCTTACTTCAACATAATTGCAATGGATTGGTCTGAATTCAGAGTGGATAATTCCAAGTCTCTTACAGATATCTTTCCACTACCTGTAAAATAATCGAACAATATGATTCCTGGAGATGTTCTAACAGTCATGATGAGATCATATGCATAAGACCTTGTAAGATTCCTATATAAGGCATAATGCAATTCTGTTCCATTAATCTATTAATTGTAATGCGGGTAAAAATAAATGCTTCCCCCTGTTATATTGGACACAGGAGAGACTGTTGCTAATTCAAAATTCTCGTCATTTGCTATAAATAGGTCGACGGAGATGTGATTTTTAAGACATGTTTATCCCAATTTGACATAAGCTTGATCGTTGGGTTGATAAAAAAACTTCTCTTAATCAGTGCCAAATAATTTAGTATCTGTTGGTTTTTATGGTAGTTTGCCTATACCATATCTTGGTGCTGAACATCCAAAATACAATATACGTCCACTTCTGGGTTACATCAATTAGACAGCATTTGATAAAACTGTTCCAACAGAAACAAGTTAATTTGCCTATTGAGTAATAGATTCCCCAAACTTACTGAGTTTCTCTAACATATAATCTATTTTATCTCTGTCATTTTCTATGTTTAAGAATAATTTCTCAGGTGGAAGTGGCACATTAGCTTCATCAACTTCACTCACAACGATTATTTGAGGTTCTCCAGTTAAGGTTTAGGGAATGTTGTAAAATTAAATTTTGGAATCGAATGTTATAAATGCAATGTCTGTTTTATCCGGGTATGGAATTGTATCCAATATGGATTGAAGAGAAGATATCACTTAAGAATACACGCCTTTAGCTACTGACATTTGTGTCAACTCTATACAGAGCAATATTAAGGTGTTCTTTATTTCCTTTTTAATGTAACTAGTAGGAGCTATGATTTCATAACATCCTTTATGTAATTCATCTCTTTAAAATTTATCTCCTCTTTAATTTCCCTAACCCAAAACACAATAATAATCAGGAGGCACTTAGTTCTTCATTTTACAAATATTGCACACGTAACTATTACCTCCTTCGCAAAATTGAAAGTAAGGACTAACATAGGCTTTACATCTCTAGCAACGCAATGGCTCATTCGTAAATTCAACTTGAGGTATTTCCTATTCGAAAATAGATGGCTCCATTAGAGGTTAAACCACTATACCAAATGGGATCTCTGTTTACTATAGAATTGATGGCTCATTTCCAATTGCATACACTGAACTTCTCATATATCTTGGTCCGCAATTTCCCTCATCAAATGTCTAATAAAATTAATGAACAGATGGAGGATGATATAAAGGTGCAGGAGCTGTGGAGAACCTCTAATAAATATGAATAATTACTATTAATAAGTAATAGATTCTTCTGATTTTATATATGGTCTAGGAATTTGATCAACATCAATTTTTGATGGTTTTCTCTGTTACTCTGTCTATTATGCAGGAAAATTTTATTATGGTTGATATTGCTATTATTGTGGGTATTACTATTGGCCTGCATATTATTATTGTGCATTGTATTATTATTAATGATTTTCTTATTATGGCTATTAGTATGCATTTGCTTATCTTTGCTGCACTGGAGGTTATTGCACAGGTTTTTCAGGTTCTCGATTGATTGGCTATTACTATTGAGTTCTTCTTAAATGAGGTGGCAATCTACGTTCTTCCATTATTGAACACGTAAAAATTATTAATTAAATTTAATTATTTCATAAGTTATTTATAAGCTCATTCCTTGAACTCTTCAGATTTCTACTTTTACACTTTGGCAGAATTAATGGCTTAATTATTAACAATATATATACATAATGCCTTATTCCCTTTTTTATCAATATCTTGATGTTATTTTGGATCGTAGGGCCATCTATCTATTAGTTCTAATGGATTTTCCAAATAGCTTCCTTCGCCGAAATTGACTTTCAATCCATAGATTTTACCCTAAAATTGAGATATACATAAGTGATACCCAAAATGCAGGATGGCCTATATCATTGACAATGTGTAAATAGAATTAATTAGGAATTATGTGATTTACAAGAAGTACTTTATCTTGAGGTCCTTCTGGCAACAAAATGTAGGATCTGGCCTAACCCTTTTCATATCCAAAGTAAACAAAGGTCCATTGATGCTTTTTGATATCAAAGGTATGAGAAACTGGTTCGAAAGAAGGGTCCTTTATAGTATATGTACTAGCCAATAATTGATCAGTCTTTGTGAAAACAGCAAGAGTGCGATCTCCAATGAATTTTTCGTCTCCAGCCATATCTGGACCATTAGTAGTTAATCTCACTAAGCCTCTAAAATCGTTTTCCATCTCAGGCAACAAAATAGCATTTTAATACCAAAATCCGAAACAGTATGACTATATTTAAGCCTTGTCAGTGAATTCATAATTAAGCTTATCCTTTTTGGTATCCATGTCCTCCCAATTGGTTGTGTCCATCATTGAAACTGGCCATTTGAAATCTTCGGCTTATTGTGGAGAGACAGGCAATTTACGATGTAATTTGTGGATCATCTCAACAACTTTTTGGGAATCATTAATGAAGCTTCCTGAACCCAAGAAAATTCTTGGATCGAAAAACCATCCATGGAATGCTTTGTAACCGAACTCACTTGCTCCCAATACAAAGTGTGCATATCCAGTAAGCACCTAATGAGTTACATCCAATGTTAGATGAACAGCCTTCTATTGTTCTTTAAACAATATCATTCCATAGAACTGTTTATTTTTATAGGCTGTATAAACATAAGTCCATTCTCCTTCAATGCTCTCATATGGCAATTATCCATCAACAGCATTGGCTGGTTTAGATGCATCATAAGTGCTGAATTCGTAATTACCCTTAGTAAGGAATGCCGATAATATTCTATTTCCTAATTCGCTTTTATCTTAGTATTATCGTGTACTCGAGAACCTAAATATAGTATGCACATCTGCTCTATCGATCAAAGTAGTAGGGAAAGCAGTAAGCCATCTTGTCCATACTCCTACAGCGTATTCATCTACGGATTCTGTTTCTTATGTAAATGTTACTTCTACTTTTTCTGGAGTTTGAATTACACGATCCTCTTTTTCATACCATAAATATTTTTGATTGATCTGAATGTGTCTAAAATTAGGTAAATTGTCTTCATATCCTTTCTTCAAAACATCAACAAATGCACCTTATCCATATTGAGCAACCCATTTTTAAAGTTCTCCTTAAAATCTTCTTGAATGTGGGTCTTTTCCAACATAAATGCCAACAAAATGAGGCACAAAGTGCTAGATCCCTTTAAAGATGACAGGTTTATCCTCAGCAAATAAATGTAACAATGTATGAACTTCATTGACATTTTCATTATAAGCCATATAGATGTAAGACCAAGCCTTTTTTGAGACACTCAACTCGACCTTTTCCTCTAAGAATTTAGCCTCGTTCCAATCTTTAAGTCCCTTAAGAGTGTATGTACTCAACTTAATTGTATCACTTGTACATATTTAAGCATGTAATGCTCTATCTCCTTAGATTTTGCGATCACTTAAGTGCTCCTTGTCATTATTAGTTATTCTAAACAATATTTAACATGGCGAATTAATCTCTCCTTCTTTCTTTACCTAAGTTTCTGCAATCTTAAACCAACCAGATATAGCATATTCACCTACTCCACTCCAAGTGTCTCCAGTGCTTTCACTACCTTCATTATTATCACCTTCTCCAATCAATTATTATTAACCATGTTTCTGCTTGTGGATGTATTCTACAGTCAATTCTTAAGGCAATGCAAAACTCGTATCTATGGATTTTAAGAGTTCTTCCCCATTATTAATAAATGATCCGACTCCAAAATGAGCTGCTACTTCGGTCAACAAGCCTTGGAAAGGAGATATATCTTTTTCTCCTCCCAAAATCAAATGCACATAATCTCCAAGAGGTTTATGTAGTAATTTTTCATTTGTAGCATGCTTAATCTCTTCTCCATCAAACACGAAATAATTGGCCTATTACAATTATCTCTTATAACCAACATAGATGTAGTGCCATTTGCCTTCCAACTGGGAGTAAGGTATAGTGCTAATTTCATTAGGAGCATCATCATTTAAATCGTAAGTGCCAAACAAATAATTCTCTAATATAACAAAAGCACTTAAAATTCGGTCTCCCACTGCGATTTTACCACTTTCTCTTTCATCATTGTATGTGAGTCTGAAAATTTGCATTTCTGTTGGAGTATGCCACTATCTCTCTGGCCAAGCTTATAAGTATCTTGCCCATAAGCCAACGGAGTATTCTTAAACACTCTCTATCTTTCTGTCTGGTTCAGCAAATGTAATTTTTGATCCCCACTTATCAGAGTCACTTGATACCAAAGTTATCGTATCTTCTGCTTCCCAATCGAATTTACTGTCAGAACTAAATAATTTTGGTGCTGCCAAATACACTTAAAGAGTGTTGAAATTGTCTTCTCTGTAACTGCCATCACCGATATTTAAGATTACTTAAGCAAGTCTACTATCAAATGGCTTCACTAGAGCATCCTTTGTCAGAAATAGCCAATAGTTTGATGAAACCGCATGTAATGCTGCCTCTAAACCCTTGTGTTCATCCTCATCAGCCAATAAATAATAGCTGATTTTCTAATGATTCTTTGAGTATCCAAAATATACAAAGGTCCAAACCTCCAATTGTTGAGAAGGAATCTTAGCCTCATATGAATTTGATAAGGAGAAAGGATTCAGACTGTAGGTGCTGAACTCTATGCCATCTGTATGGAAGAGAGCTAAAGTTCTATCTCCTATTTTTTGAGCATCTCCCAAACTATCAGGATTTGTTGATGTGAATCTATATATCAATTATTATGTCTTCACTGCCTACTTGAACCATCTAAACCACAATTAGATGCTGTACTCTCTGGCCTCTTCATTTACATGAGTGATATGTTGTTCTTCTTCTATTTTAGCGACATCATGCTTCCCAATCAGAACATCGAATTTTTTTGTTGGTTATAAAGTATCTGGAATAGTATCCTTATTTTTAATTCTCTATAATAAACCCTATTTTGTGTCAATATAAGATCCTGGTCCCAAATTGAAACGAATAGTAGTAATCTACCCATTGAATGATGAGTAATACTTTCCTGCATTACCTACTGTCAATTACAAATAATCATTCAATAGTGAATGCATAACATCCATCTAAATTCCTGAAGTATTTTCTTGATAATGAGTGAATGCCATAGCATGTCCTTGTGTCTATGAAATACGTTTGAAACTGAAATACACATAAGTCCACTCACTTTCAGAATCAATCTAATAGGGGATGTCTCCAGCAACATTATTTGATTTAGTAATGACATCATATGTTCCAAAATGATAAGAACTTTTGCCTAATAACACTAAAAGTACTCTATCTCCTGGGGCATCAAAGTCCCTATAGTCTCTGTTACTAGTTAATCTACTTAATCCCATCAATGGAGGTCTGCTGTATATAGTATTTTTGTTAGCAAAGTACTAGAATTTGACCCAATAGCCATAGCCATATTCACTAACTCCATGTAAATGTAACTTATCACTTTGTTAAAATTCAATTTATAAGGGAATATCTTTGCTTTGAGATGAGCATTCTAAAATAGTTTCCTCATGGTGAGCCTCTTATCCAGCTTATTATAATTTAATATGATCAGTTCCACTAATGAATCCAAAATGGACCTTAATGTTTTCATTTTCATCAAAACCTCCTTCTCTAAAGGCACCATCTCCAACATTTATGACCCATGTCTTTATCTACCCAATGAATTATGTGAATTATTATTTCTCTTAAATTAGGACTGAAAAAACAGCTAAGTAAAAATGATTAACTTCTTCCTGTCTGAATTCGCTCTCTGTAAAGGTATACTTCAAAAAGCCATAAGTTTTTCTTAATTATTGAGAGAATCCATAATAAATATATGTCCATTAATCTGCATACTCTCCATATGATTCGTCATGAGAGACCAATTTATACTCCTCTTTATTCTGATTGTAAGTGATAAAAGTGAAAGCTTGATCTCCCCTTGTAATTTGTAATGTTTCCTCATTTTTGCCATCTAAATCATCTAATCTTTTTTATGCCATAGTAATAAGATGAGCAATCTTTCCAGTCACTTAAGGTCCACTCCATTTCACCCATCCTGATAATGCGTATTCTTCTGCACCTTGATATTTTTCGAATTCGAATTGAATTGGTTCTTCTTTAATTTATTGAGGCGCCCCAACTAATTGTAATGTCTATCTGGACACTGGATGAATGTAAGCTTTCTCTGGAAGAGTATTTTAAGTGAACAGTTTCAATGTTTCAGCTGTAGACACAAATGATCCTGGTCCAAATGAGAATGTAATTCTTGCCATTTCCCCATTGAACAATGGAGCAGCAGTCTTGCCAACTACGAATTCCACATACTCAAGTAAGAAATCATGATAAATATCGAAGTTTACTTCCTCCACCTCTCCATCAACTCCAAATTATACGTATCCTTTAGCTAGCCCTTTATCTCCATGTCTCTTGTATCCAAAGTAAACATAATGCCATCTGCCCTCTAATTAAGTAAATGGAAGATCATCCTTCAATTTTAAGGTTTAAAATTCATATGAATCTGTTGTTAGAGCAATAGATAAAGTTGAATCTTTAGGAGTCTTGGGTCTATTAGCATTTGATCTAACAAGTTTTCCATCTATTGATTCAATCACATAACCTTCAGTTCCTAATCTAGCTATGTTGTGAATAGGAGCCCTTTTACTCAAATATTTTGGCAAGGTGCTCAACCATCTAGTCCACATTCCAAATGCATATTCACTTTATCCATTAATTTTCATTCCTTCATCATTGTGAATTACAATCTTATCAACAATGTTTTCTACTGAATCATATTCTACATATCTCGCAGAATTTATGTCTCCTCCAACATAAGTCACTGGCTTACCAACTTAATACACAGCCATAACTCCATCACCATAATTGAAGGTCAGACCAAAGTCTAATCCCTCTCTGTAAGCTCCTGTTCCCAAATAAATGCCTACATATCCAATCATGCCATTGAATGGTGATATAACATCATCTCCTCCAAGTGTCACCATTAAATTATTCACTAATTTATGTTAGATCCCTTCAAATTGAACTTCACCTACGTGACCTGGTTTAATTAGAGAACCATAGGCTCTTCCACCGTCATTGTCATATCCAAAGTACACATAAGTCCATAAAAATTCTGAGCTCTCCACAGTCTTTGATAAATATGGTTATCCCTTTGCTCTGTTTCCCTTGATTGTGTATGTATTGAAATAAACAGTGCTTTTTGCACCTCCTCCGAAAGTATGGTGTAATTCTAATGCTCTGTCTCCCAGTACTCCTTTTCCTGCTGTCTTATGCTTGTTTGATCTTAAGTTCACAATTTAGAATGTGTTTGGCTCATCTACTTTAAGGTCATCAATCCATCTAAACCATAATCCAATGGCATATTCCTCAATAATCAATTATGATTCTTGTGGATCAAAATGAAATGATTCGCCCTTGTCATTTCCATTAAAATGTTTTGGCTTAGTCAATATATTTTCATCTATAACTGCAGGCACATTCTATGGTGGATTACTCAATGTTTTGAGCACTTCATCCAAAGCATCATCCCCATCAACAAATGCTGGAGTATCAATATCATAAAATATATTGGCAAATTAACCATTTAATCCATAATAATTCATATGTTTACCTCCAAATATTATTTTGATATATGAAGGAGGAATGTGAGTGGCATCAATTTCAACCCTGTAAATTCCATTCCCTTCTCCATAGCTAACAACATAACCTACAGCTTTTCTTAATGGACTGCTATACGAGAACATCACGAAATACCACATTCCATCCATATTCTCATTTAATACTATGGCCTTATCCTTAGTTTTAAGTTTGTCACTTGTGTCATAAGTACTGAATACAAATGAATTATCAAATAGAAAAACAGCAAGAGCTCTGTCTCCATAAAATGAAAAATCTTCATACTCCTCATTGATAGTCATTCTGGAAAGGAAATAATACTCTCCTTCTTCTCTAGCATGCTCTTTAGCACTATGTTCAGCATATCTCACCCAATAACCATAACCATATTCAGAGGAATCCTACAATAATGCTCTATCAGTAAACTCAAGCTACTCAGTTGTTTCTCCATCATATTCAGAATTTTAATATTTTGTATTAACTGCCACAATTTTTCTTTCTTAAACTCTGCCTATATTGGCTTTATGTTTTGGTGGTTGGAATGAAGTTGGCTCATTTGTATCAATATCTTCTCTTAAGGATTATATTTTCAAAGACCTCTCTTCTTCAATTTATTTCTAAGTTACAGTTTTAGAATCATCTTATTCTTGTTTTATTGGCAAATCTAATGGTTTGGCATTATTTTCAGCCTAAGTTTCGGTTTTCTAAACTTTTGTCGATTCTACCTAATGCACTTCTTCATTATTCTAACTCTCCTCCTGCACAGAAATGCTCTCTTATTATTCTGTCACACTTTATTCTTCCAAATTATCATTTTTATTAGTGACTTCACTTAAGTGAGATTCTTCATTATTTAAATCCTCAATTTTGCTAACTTTTACAGCTTAAACAACATTTTCGATTTCTTAAGATTCCTAATTTTATGTTTCATCAATATTTTGATTGTCTTCATCAGAGTTCTTAATTTCTCCTTCCATTTCATGTCCCAAAGCAATATATCTTTAGTTTCCCTCTATTTCCTAATTCAAATCATTCTTGATTAAGTTTTTATGTGTATGTTAACGATCCTTCTACTTTGAATGAGCATAATGCTAAGGTTCATGATATACATCATGTAAAGGTGTTTCTAGATCTTCTTCTTCAAAATAATAATATATCGTTTCTCCAGGAATTTCATTATAATAAATATACTCGTCTTCTGAGTCCCAATCACTTTCATAAATGACTCTTGCCCTTCTAAAATCTTATTCACATTCCCTTTTTAATGTTCTAAGTTAGGCTACTTTTTATCTCAAATTTATAGTTTTCTTAGCATATTAACATTGATTCAAATATATATAGATTTCTTCTTAAGTTCTTCTCAAATGAGCAATAATTTAATTTGCCAAAGCGATTTTCTCCTCATTTGCTACGATATATTTCAATTATACTTTATGTAGCATTTAACTAGCCCACATATTCTAGGGCATCTTCCACTCTGCAGGCAGCCCACTTATTTTGAATAAAAATATTTTAAAGAGACTTTTCTATTTTTTATTATATTTGCACCAACATAGTCGAATGAATTACATGTATTGTACCTTTTGCTTTCTCAACAATATTTATGATCTAATTGATTATTGCTAAGTCCTTTATCAATTATTCTCTATTATCAATTATATCAATCCATCGCTCTAATTCACCAATTATGAAATCCAAATCAGTATTGCAATACAAGCGAGAAACATCTAGATTATACGCTTCAGTGTAACTCATTCCTATCAATTAGTACAAGAATACCTCGAGTTCGTAGCTCTGATGCCTCTAACTTCGATGAAATGACTACAACCATCAGCAACATAATAGTTATGAAGGTTTTCTTCATTTTTGATAAAAATAAAAATATATATATATAAACCGTTTTTTATATCAGGTATTAATATTCATATCAAATCCTCAAATTCGCTAATCTCCTAGAATTTATTTGACCATTTTCCTTTGGAAATTTAATTATTTATTGTAGACTTTCATATGAGTTCCTCTCAATCCCTCCTTCAAAATTGCCTTATTTTTTAGAATTATTTTGCTATTATAAATTTCTGAAATACTAATAAAGCATATTATATCACTTAAACTCAATAATAATTTTAACAGATAAAATTTATAAATAGTTTTCTCATAGATAAGAAGTATAAGTTTATAATTTGTAATAATACTCCATTTTCTGTCTAGATTTATTTTACAGATCTTTTTAATCTTTCATTAATCAATTAGTTTTTATATCCTAAAATAAATAGAACGTTGAAATGGTCCAATAATCGCTTAATCTATAAAAATGTATCTTCTGAAAGAATTAAGTTATGATTTAAATCCACTCCTACTATCTTAAATATTTTTAGGATATAAATCAAACTATTAAATAGATTAGAAAAAGTGCTTGTTTATAATCAATTGCAATATTATCATTAAAAATACTGTAGAAGTGGTGAAAGGAAATTCATGATTTATGAATTATGTTAATCTTTGTGAAAATTATCAATAAGTTTATTTTTATAATTAATAAGTTTAAAAAATTAGTTTAACTAAATGCTAATATAAATGTGTGAGAAAAAAAATGTTCAAAGATAAAGTTTACATTATATATTTTCTTAAGAAATGACAAAAAAAAGTATCCAAAAAAAATATAATTATTTGAGGTTTACTAAATAAAACAGTTAATTTTAGGAGGGGATTTTTAAAAAGGGAATTAAAAATAATTTGACAAAAAAAAACTATTTAGAAATAAAGGAATTAAAAAGCAGTTAACGTCATGAAATACTAAAAAAAATTTATTGATTTGAATTAAATTATTATCATTTTCACAAAAAAAAAAAAAATCAAATAACCATTCTATTTCTTTAATTCACAAATCAATTCTAAAGAAATAGAATTATTGGGGAAATTCTTATATATAGAGTTCATATGATTGAATAAATAATATGAAAATAAATATTTATTAATATTATGGAATCTATACTTTGTAAAAATTGTAATACAGAAATATTACAATAAAATATAACTATGCATGAGCTTTATTGTGCTTAAAATATCAAAAAGTGCAGTATATGCGAAATAAACTTTGATTCCAATAATCAAGAGGAACATTTAAATTATCATTTAAAGAATACATGCTAAAACTGCAATGTCTTTTAAAGTAAAATTGTCATCTATTGTAACTCAATTAGAGGATCTTTTTAATCATAAATGTAAATAATGCCAATATTGCTCGCAATTTTATTCACTACAAGAACTTGAAGATCATTTAGAATAATGTAAACTTATTATAACAAAATGTTTATTTTGTGGGGAAGCAATTTAAAATAAGGTTTTGGAGTTGCATAGGCCATATTGCTAGCAGTAATATGAGAAAGGAAAATTCAAATGTGAATATTGTAAAGAATACTTTAATAGTAACATTTTATATATCATATAGGCTTGTAAAATTTGAAATATCATCAAAAGACTTGTGAAAAAGATCAATAGCTGTGTCCATATTGTAATTTGAACTTGATGCCTGATTTTAAGGAGGAACATATCAAAATTTGCGAGAGTAGAACCGAGCCCTGTTCATTTTGTAAGGAAAGGATTTTATTAAAGAATAAACCAACTCACGAATTAAATTGCTTTTAATCAAAATAATATTATGCCTAAAATAAAATAGAAAATTATCAAGCAACACAAATACAATATGAATAAATTACAGATGAATACTTAGAAGAATACCTAAAATTAAATGATTTTGATTATTGAAATAATGTGGGAATTTATAATTAATTGTATTATAATTGTTCATTTCTTTGATTTTTGAGAATATGATCCCATTTTTTTAAATTATTATGAAATCTTTTCTTTTTGCTACAAAGCCACTGATTAAGGTTTTGGATTTTAAATTGATATTTATGAAGCATTTTAACTTTGATTTACCTAAATTATATTGAATAATTTTACTGAAGAAACTTCTAATTATCTATTACTCTTTTGAGTGCTATAACTTGTATTTTAACCACTTTTTTTTTTATCGTCGCTTTATTAGGAAAATTTTTATTAAGCAGCGCTAAAAAATTTATTTTATTATTACTATTTGATTTGTTGTGGTTAAGGTTAAGGGCTAGCAACAGTTTTAATGGTAGAGCTACGAGAATTTGACATCCTTGTTAATTATTAAGTTGGAGGTGGTGTAGATATAATAATTGAAGTCGATGGAGCCAATGCAGATCTAACAGGCTATCCAGATTTCAATTAATTTGATGATTGTTGTGACTATTCTTTTTAGGGAGTAGTAGTGAATGAGTTTCTAAAATTTAATTATTTTGGTAAAATCTATGATTGAGACTTCACTAATACTCTTGATCCTTTTTCATCCGGGCTTAATTCTATAGGTTCAGCTTATTAACCCTATTCTGGGATGTGCTCCATAGCTTAGATTTTATTTTCAGTAAGCATTTAATTGTATTTGATGATATCATCCTCATTGAATTCTATAATAGTTTTGAGCCTATGCTCGTTTAAACAAGAGAATGCATTTTTAGTTCCATACTTTTTAATTAATAAAAATGCCTTTGATATTCTTCTATACCTTTCACTAAAAAATATAAATATATTTTACTTTATCAAATTTAATTCATCAAACCCAATTCTAATTTTTTGTTAAATCATTTTTTGTAAAAGTCTTTTTATAGTTTTGATGCCAATTTAGAAGTTAGAACTCATATTATAGTCTTAGTCGGAAAATGGACTCGATGAACTTCTGTTATTTTTATCTGAGCCTATTCTATTTCTTAATATATCTTATTATGAATATTTTTTGCTATGATCTTTTCTTTCTAATTATTTTAAAAACATTTTATCTGTTTCTGAGATATCAGAGATATTCGTTCTATTAATTATTGCTTGATCATCCATAAATTGTTCATTAGTTTAACCTTTGTTTATTCCTTAGGTTTTATTTTAAGATTCATTAACATTCATTAATGACTTAGATTTAGTTAGCTATGTTTATTCTATAGCTTAAATTAATGATAGTTATGAACAGTTAGATTTACTTTTTTTAAGATTTGGCTCTTGATATTTAGGAATTTTTAATTAAACATTAGGGTTATCATTACCTTATATTACTTTTACGTAAGATCCATCTCTGTTTTTGATAAAATCGTTGATTTTATAAAATGCTAACGATCTATTTGATACTTTAGTTCTTCGAACCAAAATTTAATCTTAACCTAGCTATTCTTTCAAATTTTCTCCAAAAATTACTTCCTCATCTTTATATTATTTTCGTGTAATAAGTATTTTCTACTTATTTCCTTTTCCTTCTTTGACCACTTCTTCAATCATTTAAAATGATTCATTTTTGCTCAAAATTCGTTACCATATTTTATCATTTTATTCATACCATCCTTTCTTCATTAAATCTTATGGGGAAAGTGACTCTACTTGTTGCCTACTTAAAATTACAACTTCTTCATCCTATTCATATAAATCCTCTCCAATCTCTGGATCTTATTCTTCCTACATCTGTTTTCTTTGTAAACGACGCTCTATCTTTTTGGTTTAAGGATTTTAAACTAAAATTTCTTCTTCTAAAGTCTTCATTAATAATTGCTTTCTTTTATCACTTGAATTTACAAGAAATTTATCAATTCTGGAGCCATCAAAATCAGATACCCTTATTCCTTGACTATTTAATTCTTCATTGGATCGATATTATGAGTCTCTTTGCTCCTGGCTGTCTTCATCTATTTGATACATTGATCTTTTTATATTAATATTTTGATGCTATTTAAAATATTCTTTAGGAGCATCAGTAACTTTTTTCCAACTTTGCAAGCTATCCATCTAAAATTAATTTATAACTTTTCTTTGTCTAATTATAAACCCATTAGGTTGCTTTTCATTTAAATTTTTGCTAATTGTAACTTCTGTAATGTTGACTTACTTTTACATAGCAAATAATTCTGTTTATCCAGATTTTTGATTAGCAATTTCAACAATTTCTTCTACAATTTAATATGGGTTATAATCTATATCAAGATTTGTTACAATCCTTCTGCTAATAATTTGGTTACCATCAGGATCCTACTCTTTTAATCTCTTACCAATTTATTTACTAGAATTGTAAGGAAACTTTAATAAAACTATCTCCATTTCATTTGTTTTTGGATTTAGTATTTAATGTTCTTCCTCAAAATATTAAGAATCCTAATTAATTAGTTATTAAGATAATGTTGTGTTTGCTGTAGGCTAATCTCCCATCTTTTTTAATACTCCTTTATTATCTTTAACCCAGCCATCTTATTTAAGAGCAGTTAAAGTTTAATTATTTTAAACTACTTTTCTGGATAAAACAAAGCCTCCATCCGTTCTTTCAACTTTACCTTCCCCATATATAAAAGGTCTTCTTTCAAGTATTATTTTTTATTATCCATCTTTGTCTGTTAGAAGTATTTCCTCTTCTATGTATTATTCAGGTTCCTGTTCTGACAGCTACATTACTAAAGTTCCATTTTTTTATTTAACCCATCCTTTGCTAGAATTATTATCAACTATTTTTCTAGACAATATTGTATTTCCTAAAGGATCTACTTCTTAAATAGAATCTCCCATAATAAGGTTATCTTAGATTTACCTTCTCATTAGTTTTCTTTCTAAAAGGCCTGTTTCTTAATTAAAACTCAATATTTCCTCTTCAATGTATTTTGAAGGCTCAGAGGATGCAATTACTTTTTCCATTTATCCTTACTTATTTGTTATCCAACCTTCCTTCTTTTTTGCCTCAGTTGAAATATTATTTTAAACAAGCTTTCTTGAAATTACTTTAAATCCTTACTATTATTCATTAATTTCATCTCCAAAAATAGTTTATTTATCTTAAATATAAGGCTTTCTGATTAATTTTCGCTCTTATTTTCCCGTATTTTCATTTATAATTAGAACTTCCTCCTCAATAAATTATTCTGGTTCTGAAAAACTCACCAATCTAGTTAATTTACCTTTTTCAACTTTCCATCCTTCCTTCTATTATGATTAAATTGGGGAGACATTATCTATTATTCTTCTTGATAAAACTTACTTTCCCTCACTGTCAATTTCTTATAAATTGTCTCCAAACTTAAGATTTTTTTAATTTGGAGAAAAGGGACGTCGTATTATTTTTCTTTCAAGCTATTTAGTTTCTTTATTCATAACTAAGATTTCTTCTTCTATGTATTTAGATGGCTCTGCATCAGAAATTATTTATTCTAAATGACCATCTTATTTTTACTACCAACCTTATTAACTTAGGATATCAGAAGAAAACTAATTTTAAATAATTCTTCTGGCAATAATTTTTTCACCATCTTTTCCTAATTCATTTAAGCATTCTCCATAATTTATTTCTTCATCAATTAGATAAACTGGTTTCCTAATTAATTTACGTTCTTGTTTGCCTGTTTTAGGATTGATAATTATTATTTCTTCTTCCACGAATTGTTCAGGCTCTTCTTATGAAATAATCTTTTCAAGAGTACCATTTTATCCTTTTTGCCAATCTTTTTAAACTTAATTAAATGATTAAGAATTATCAACTATTTTCCTAGATAAAATTCTGTTTCCATCTTTATCAACTTCATTTAAGTTATTTCCCATTTATTAATTTTCTTTTGTCAAAGGTCTCCTTACTAATTTTCTTTGTAATCCATTTTCTCCATAACAAAGTACTTCCTCCTCTACATACTTTGTAGGCTCATTTTAAGCTAATTAGATTTCTATCTATCCTTATTTTTACTACCAATCTTTCATTTATTCCATAGATTATTCATTAGAGATTATTCTTCTAGCAACCACTTTTCTAGTGCCGTCACCTTCTTGAAGATTTTCTCCAATTTCACCAACATCTGATTCTGTTAATGGTCTTCTAATTAATTTTCGTTCTTATTTCTAAGTTTTTGGATTGATTATTATGATCTCTTCTTCAATATAAGCTTCAGGTTCTTCCTATGAAACTACTTTCTCTAATTAACCATTATTCAATTAAACCCAGGTTGAGTCAACTGGCTTATTATTTGATACAATCTTTCTTGAAACAACTTTATTTCCATTTTAATCTTTTTCTATGACAGTTCCTGTTTATAATTTATTATCTTAAGGTAAGAAAGGTCTTCTTACTAGTTTTCTTTATATAACTCCGTCTTCACCTTAAACTAATATTTCTTCTTCAACATATTTTACAGGTTCAGGTTGAAATCTCATTTCCATATTTCCATCACTATTTTTTACCCAACCTTACTATTTCAATACCTAATTTGATTGATCATTTTAAACGATTTTTCTTGAAATTACTTATTTACCATTTCCTAAATCTTCTTCTAAATTTGATCCTATCTATAAGTTATCTAATTCTTCATTATTTAATGGCTTTCTTACAATTTTTCTTTCCAATTTTCCTGTTTTTGGGTTGATTTGAATAATTTCTTCTTCTAAAAATTGTTCTGGTTCTTCTGAATTTAGGATGATCTCTTCATATTTTCCTACATTTTACCATTATTGATTAGTTGCTTTAGGCTAAAGATTGGATTCTACTTTACGAGATAGCACTTTATTTCCATTCTTATCTACTTCATTTAATTAATCACCTTCTTGAATTTTTCCTCCCAAATAAGGTTTTCTTACTAGTTTTCTTTCCATCATTCCTGTTTCATTGTTAAATTATAAGACTTCTTCGGTAATATACTAAGAAGGTTCAACTCCCAATGATTATTCATAGTTTCCATCGCTATTCTT